GGGGGGGGGGGGGGGGGGGGGGGGGGGGGGGGGGGGATGCGGTGGGGTGCGCACGGCAGGCAGGCAGGCAAAGGCAACCAAGAGATGCGGGGCGTGGCGTGGCGTGGGTGAGCGTGGCGTGTGTGTGTGTGTGTGTTCAGGAATGGCCAACACGAGTCCGTCGAATCGCACCATCATGAATCTGTCCTTCGCAGCGTCGGACGCGATGCGGTCGAGCGATGCCTTCACTTCACTCATGTCGTCCTTTGCCAAAAAGGACGTACTCAAACATCGCAAGGCCTTCGCTGACAACGTCTTCCACACACACACATGAATCAATCAATGAATCAATGTACCACCCACACATGGGCCACTGGCTACCTGGGGCGGTTGGGTGTCTGTGTGTGTGACCTAAGACATTATGGGAGTCCTAGAGTAAGATTTATTGTGGTGGTCTTTTGTGTTTGTGAGACACCCGATGGACATCGTGTGATACGACACACGTATTTAGGAGATTTTCCGATACTGACTTGACTTACCGGGACGGATCGAATCGCCATTGCAGAGAGACATATCATCCATCCAATACGGTGGATGACTTGTTACCTCGAGAAGGTCCCCCCGGCCCCAATTCAAAGGAAACTCCCGCGGCCCCAGTCTCCTCCCTCCCTCCCTTCCAAGAAATACGCGTGTGTGCGAAGCAATGCAGCCTGCTGATCATCTATGTCGTCTGCCGCCGCTGCTGCTGTTCCTCTTTGCCATCGGTGGGCGGCTGCCTGGCATCGCTGGCCAGTGTGAATGGAGCGTGAGTGAGTATGTGGGGACCGGGACGGGCGACTGCGGCCGCGAGTACGATGCCGGCGAGGTGGTGGCCTTGACGGGGCCTTCCAAGTACGGGCGTTACGAGGCGCGAATGCTGCCCAACGTCTTGTGGGCTGACGGGGTGGTGCTTTCATTCATCCTCTGGTACCAAGACAGCGACAAGGTGCCCGGCACCCCCTGGGGCGAGATAGACTACCAGATATTCCTGGGGGGCCCTCATGGGGAGAAGGGGGAGCCGCTGCAGACTAACATCGTTCTAGGTAGGTATCAATGTGCATGGATGCATGTAAGCAACATGAACAAGGAAGCAAGGCAGTCAATCAAGCCCCTCCGTCGCTCTATCCGTCCATCTGTCTGTCTGTCTGTCTGTCTGTGTGTGTGTGTGTGTGTTGGGTCGGCGCGTCGCAGGTTATGTGTGGAACGATCCCCCCGGCCTGGGTCTGCACGAGCAGTTCTACGGCCCCCCAGGGTATCCTAAGACCCCTGAGGGGCGGGACAATGAGGCATCCAAAGGGGTCAAGGGCAGCTGGCACACTATCGCCATAGAGTGGACGCCGGAACACGTCGAGTGGTGGTTCGATGGACGCAGACTGCGCAGATGCCCCAGTAAGTAATAAATACCGACGGATGCCTGGCTCGTTCGTTGATTCGTTCCGCTCGCCATTCACTTCATTCCCGAACCATACATACCTCAATCCACTCATAACTGTGTGCATGTGTGTGTGAGTGTGCAGGTGCCGAGTGTTGCAGCACAGCGACAGTGCCGTCTTTGTGCGAGGACGGCGCTTTGATGACGAACCTGAATGCCATCCCGTCGATGAATGTGCGCATGTCGATGTGGCCGGTGAACCCCAAGGAGCCGTGGGCCGCCACCTGGAGTGGCCTGGCTGACCCCGAGAGCTTCCCTCTGGTGGCCTTTGTCGACTACGTCACCTTCTACTCATACGACCAGGCCACCAAGTCATTTGTCTTTGACGACGTCGAGGTCTTTGACTATGAAGTGGGCCTCGCCAGGACCGATGCCAACCTGCTCGAGAAATGGTCCCTGCCCACTGGGGTCACCTTCGACGTCAACTGGGCAGAGTTTGGACTCAGGTAAACACACACACACACACACACAGACATTACACGACACGACACAACATGCACGCATCTCCGCATATATGTGGATGCGCCCTGGCTGTCACACACACGTGTTGTGCATAGCGTGTGTCTCTGTCTGTCTGTCCTGCCTCCTACCTGGTGTGTTGTGTGTGTGTGGTCAGGCGGACCAACATAGTGAGTGGATCTGTGTCGAAGCATCTGGCCCTGACGCTTGCCAAGAAGGGTGAGAATGCGGTGCCGGCTGCACCCCTCATCGCACCCAATCGGCAGGCCTTGCCGCCAAATGACATCGACGACACACTCTGTCAGTGAGACACACATACATACACACACATAAGACGTACGTACGTACGTACGTACGTACACCTGCACACCGGCTCATACCCTGCCCCCCGCTCGTTTGTAGTATATGTCTCATTTGTCAGTCATCTCTCTCTCTCTCTCTCTGTGTGTGTGTGTGTGTGTATCAGATCCTAACAAGACGACTCTTCCGGAGGCAGCGGAGCGTTACCTGGATTGGCGAGAGGAGTGCGAGGCAGACCCATCGGTGGACCCGGCCAGCGGTAAGGTTCTGAGGATCCCTGGCAAGGTCTTCCAGTACGGCATGGCTCAGCTCAAGGCCGCCCTCACGCCCCCGGCAGAGACCGCCGACACGTCCACATGGGCTGTCGACGCATGCAAGGCCGAATGCATCGCACGACTTGTCGCCGGCGTACCTCTACACTACTTGTCCGTCATCGAGACCACCCCTGAGGGGACGGATGAGACCGCATATCAGGTAGGGAGGTCGGTGGGTAGGGAGGCAGGCACAGCACACACGCTGGCTGCATGACTGACTGACGGACGTAGCCCGCTACATGCACGCACACGCACGGACGGGGGGGGCGCCCATCTATCTAATGTGATGTGATCTATGTGACCGTTCCATCCATCCATCCATGCATCCATCCACCCTGCGTGTGTGCAGTGTATGTGTCTGTTGGAGACAGGTGCAGCAGTTGAGCTGGGTGATGGGGGCAGTGGCTTCGCATATAGCGGCATTCTGTGCGGCGAGGCGGGCAACTTCGACCCCAGCCTGACGACCCCCACCCCGCCCGACGACGTCTCTCCGCCATCCATTGTGGAGGGGCCGCCTGTCCTGCTGCCGGGGCAGCAGCTCCTGCTCCTTGATGGCGGTCGGCGGTTTACCGATGAGAACTTTGGCACACAACTCCTCGCTGTGAGGATACAAAATGAGCCGCAGGGCACCTTTGAAACGGTAGGTAGGGCGGTGTGAACGCTGCGGGCGACGCAGCCAATAGACAGACAGACAGACAGACATTCGTGTATTGCATGTATGTATGTATGCATCAATGAATGAGAGCCGTTTGGTGACTCCCTGTCTGTCTGTCTGTCTGCCTGCCTGTCTGTCCTTCCCTACCCTCTTGGTTGATCTCCTTCCTCCTTGCTTTATTATCGATTCATTCAGGATGAGGCGCTGCAGGACTTCGCCACCGATGCGCGGAACGTCATCGCCACGGACCTTTCGGAGGATCCCGAAAAGGTCATCATCCACTCCATCTCGCCGGGCTCGGCTATCGTCAGATTCGTGTCAGTGAGGAGACACGCACGAATACGTGGATTGCACGCAGGCAGCTGTCTGTGGAATGAAGGCAGGCGGGCAGCTAATGGGTCTCTGTGTGTGTGTGCAGTGTGCGAGACCAGACTGCGGCTTCGTTGCAGAGCAAATGGCAGACGAAAGTGGATGCAGCGGACTCTCTGATTGCCACGCAGTACACGATCGATCCTGATTATCCTGTGCTGGTGGCCGTGCCAGACAGTGGGACGCCTCCCCCGGCAGACTGTGCAGTGGGCGACCCGTTGTGTACCCCGCCCACCCCCCAGCCGACGACCAAGAGGCCCGGCGACTTCCTTGAGGACAACAAGGATGAAGACCTCGACAAGAAACCCGACATTACCCCGGAAGACCTCGTCCCGCCCGCCATCAAGGATGGCATCGAGCAGATTAAGGATGACACCAAGGAGACCATCACAAAGAGCACAGGATGGACGTCATTCGCCATTGCCGCGGGCGCGGGGGTGGGTGTGTTGGCTGTGGGGATGCTCATTCTGTGGTGGACTGGGGCGCTGGGCAAGCTGCGGAGGCTGTGCTGTCCGAGGAGGGAGAAACTATTGGACAAAGGCGGCGAGAGGGCCAGGGAGAGGAAGACAGAGACGCTGAGACAGTCGCGCGGACACCACCAACCGGCACACAGGAGCCCTGCCAGTCCGCAGAGGGTCTTTGTTTAGCTAGCGAGATTTAGACAGTCAGACAGACAGACAGGCAGACGACAGCCGGCCTTGCAAATTGGGATGTGCACTGGGTAGGTAGGGATTTGGGCCTGCCGCGGGATGGATGTGCATTCATTGCATTGCGAGGGATGTGGGCGGGTGGGTGGGTGGGTTGTTGCGGCGATCAGATTCACCTGGTACTGACTGGACTGAACTGGCGGTGAGGGTGTCTGTCTGCGTGTGGTGAGGGTGTGGTGTGGCGTGGGTGCTTTTCACTAGGTCGTGTCTCTGAATACGTATGAATGTATGGTTCCCCTCAGTGTGTATGTACTACAAGAATGAACATTCTGTTGCATATCATATGTGTAGGCAGAGAGTCACACTGATAAAGCCCTGCCGTCCGTCCATCCATCCACTTGTCCGTCCGTCCGTCCGCAAGGCACTAACTAAAAGTTGACTCAAACAGCTTGGCTGCCGTGGCCGACACACATAGATGTAGACATGAACACACCGTGGATGCTCTCATTCGCCATCATGTACTCTCCCCCTGACAGAAAGACCGACAGGGTCCCAGTGGGCGATTGATCCAGCCATCTCAAATGAAGAGGGCAAAACGGATGGATCGACAGCCAGACACACACTGGATAACGTCTCACTCCGGGTGTATGTATGTATGTATGTACAGAGAGGGAAGTGAGTGTGCTCTACGCGAAAAAGACAACTTCGTCCAACCACCAATACACACACAGCCCCTCAAACACACACAGAGACTAGCTACCTACCTGCCCAGAAGAATATGTGTGTATATAAATCAGGACACGACCCGACCCCACACAATAAACAAACAAGAGACGAGCACACTACATGTGCACGTAATAGCCACATGTTCACTCATCAATCCATCCATTCATCTACCTATCCATCCATCCATCGCTCTCTTGCGATGTCCGCTTGTACATCCATCCAGGTAGCTTTTTGTATGATGAAGGAAGCAGCCAATGAAGGCAGCAAGAAGGCGGGCAGCAAGGCCATGCATGCATGTATCTCTCTGTCCATCGAGATATCTAGATAGATGGACGGACGTATCAAGGAAAGGAGGCGCCGCTCACTCATAAACGGAAGGACACCAAAAAGACGAGCAAGCAAGCAATCAAGGGCCCATCCATCACGTATGTTTGTATGTATGCACCAGGGAGTGAGTGAGTGAATGAGTGCAGCAGGGGGGGACATCGAACGCATGGAGAAAGGGAGGGTGGATGTATGTCTGTCTAGGTAGGGTAGATAGGATAGAGAGATAGATATCTGTACGGTACGTAGACGCTTTCACATGCACTGCATGCATTAAAGTGCGATGGATGCTTCCTGCCTGCCTGCCTGCCTGCCTACCTGCGATCCACACACACACATGCACACGCACCCGTACGCACCTACGTACGGAGGACAGAGTTGGGAGGGAGGGAGCATGCAATGCAATGCAGAGCAGCAGGGATTGAAAGCGGCTCACCCTGCCTGCCTGGTTCCTTTATTCGTTCATGCACTGCACTGCACTGCACTGTACCTACCTACTGAAGGCCTGTCTGTCAGCGCTCCTTCCTTCCTGCCCTATATATGTGTGTTGTGTATGTATGTACCACGCACACGTGAATTGAAATGCCCACGCGACGGATGATTGCATGCCGCCCTTGCCGCTATATCACTGCTTGTCGAATGCGATGGCCTGCAATGCGCTGGCTTCCTTCCTCCCGAGCTCCTCTACCAGACTCGCAAACACACTGACCAAGGGACACACACACACACGAGTAGATGGACACACACATCACATGGATATCTATCGCACCGTACGGACCTGTCAGATTGTTTGAGTAGTGTGGCGGGCGAGTCGAGCTCCACCAGTCGTCCCTCTGACAGCACCAGCACACGGTCCGAGTCAATGATGGTCCTTAGACGATGCGCCACCGTCAGGATCGTGCACGACACGAACTCGCTGCGGATCAACCTGCAGGACACACATACATATACATCCCATCCCCCCCCCCGCTGAACGCACTGGCTTGGCTTAAGTGCGAGTACTGTGTACATTCATTGACTCATTGATGCGTGTGTGTACCTCTGCATGGTGCGGTCGGTCTCCATGTCCATGCTGCTGGTGGCCTCGTCCAGCACCAGGATCTTGGAACGACGCAGCAGCGCACGAGCCATGCACAACAGCTGACGCTGACCCAAACTGACACACACATTGATACCCACACACACACGCGGACGGGATCGATCCACCAGGCCCACTCACTACTCCTTTGGTCTTGTTGCACCTGAAGTTCTCGCCATATTCGGCCACTTGTGCCTGCTCGAGGCTGCCGCCGGCCAGTGTGCGCACCGTGTCGGCGAGCTCCACTTTGGTAAGGGCCTCCCACAGCTGGTCGTCGGTGTGCTGACCGAAAGGGTCCAAATTGAACCGGAGCGAGCCAGAAAACAACACGGGGTCCTACAGGCAAGCCATATGACAAATGGCACCCTCACAGACTTACGAACCGATGTTCGTTCCTTTTTATCCGTTTGTTTGTCCGGGTTCTCTCTCGCCGACCTGTGGTATAATAGCGAGTTTTGATCTGAGTTCGCTGAGGCCCATGTGTGCGATGTTTCTGCCATCGATAGCGATAGTGCCCTCCTCGCATTCTATCATGCGGAAGAGCGTCAGCAGCATCGAACTCTTGCCGCTGCCGGTACGGCCGCAGATGCCAACCTTCTCACCTGACAGAGAGACACAGACAGGGATAGGATAGATGGTTTCTTTCATACCCATCAATCAATGTTCGAACGGGTGAATGCAACACAGCACAGCATCCCATCCGGCTGGCTATGTGTCTGTGTGTGTAGACAGTCTGCTGCTGAGCCGACCGGCTTTGATGTCAAATGACACCCCCTTGAGGACCAATGGTGTGTCCTTGCGATACCTCACAGCCACATTGTCAAAACACACACGGCCCTGCACACACTCACACGCACATTGGCGAGGTGGACCCGTCCATGCGTCTGTCCGTCTGTTTGGATGCGTTTGCTGCGTGCGCACCTGTGCAGGCCATCCGTGAGGTGGTTTGGTGAGTCCCTTTGCTTCGGTGCTGTGGTAGGGGGCCTCCTGCTCCACTGCACGGGGGTCGGTGTAGTGCAATATGCGCTCCACGCTGACACACACGAGGTCGACACCCACAGCCAGCCAAACGTCTAAGGTGCTCTTACGACCGATTCTTCGCGAGTGTGTGTGAGTGACCAGACCAGTTCATCATGGCCTCCGTCTCGGCCACGTTTCGGACCAGGAACTGAAGCATCGCTGGACACACAGCAACCGCGGGGTGTATAGAGACACTTACTTGTGTCATGTGGTGGGTGTGGGTGGTGTTCCCTGACTGACTGACTGACATGTCATATTGTTGGCGTAGGCGATGGCAAAGCCCGCAAGGGCTGCGGGAATCTGCAGCCAGCCCACCGGTCACCCAACCCAGCCCACACACACAGAGATGGACATATGCGAGGGGATGGATGCCGTCATAGACATCGGTGTGCTGGACAGACATGTCTGACCATGAATTTGAGACCGCTGAGGAGCATGCCCGTCACGAGCACAACGACTGCACCCAGCACCTCCAGCCTCACACCCAGCCACCGCTCAGACGCCCTGACGATGGACAGAGAGACAGACAGATGGACCACACATACCAACACCGTGAGATGCAGATGCGATGCTCACATCCCTGCATAGCATACGTGGGCAGGTAGGTACACATTGCCTGCCTGCCTGACTGACTGACCTGTATGCGTAGAAGGCCTCATTGTTGGCGTCAGCGAGTGCCACGGCCTGCCGCTCGAGGCGCTCACGGGCACTGTATGCACGGATCGTCGACAGGCCACCCAACGCCTGCTGGAAGTGAGCGAAGATCGGAGACCTGACAGACAACACCCACATACAATCGTGGACGGATGGATGGACGGACGGACGGACGGATGGATTGCATGAGAAGGCGTGTCGTGTCGTGTCTATGCGATGGATGCCTGCTCTGCGCAGGTGAGGTACCTACCTGGTGACGGACTCGAGCCTTTTGAGTTCCCGCATGGTCTTTTGGTAGTAGATGCAGATCATGACGTACACAGTCATGAGGGGCGGCAGGGCCAGGAGGAACCACGGCACACCCCAGCAGATGGACACCACAGATGTCACCGAGGTAAAGACCGACGTCATGAGCATGTTGAGCGTCATGGGCAGCTGCATGTCCATCTGGTCACAGTCTCGGCTGAACCGCGCCAGCACGCGGCCCACAGGAGTGGTGTCAAAGAACCGCATCGGGGCCCTCATGATGTTGGCAAACAGACGCTCGTGCAGCGTGTGACTCGCACGCACCTACACACATCCATCACCCACACCACACACACGGCTGGCTGCACAGAGGTCGTTGGCTCCCTCCCTCCCTCCGTCTGTCTGTCTGTCTGTCTGTCGGCTCCCTGACTGACCCCGAGTGCGATGACCATGACGGCGTTGGTGAATGAGAGTATGCAGATGACCACAGCAAAGGCGGCATAGCCCACCAAATAGATGTGCAGACCAAACCGCTCGTAGCCCACGTCAGACGACCACCTGACACGACACACGTAAGTAACTCCCGTGTCGTCGGCTGTGCTGCATCCTTGTCTAATCTCCCTCTCTGTGTCTGTCCGTCTGTCTGTGTGTGTGTGTGTGTGTGTGACATCCGTACAGTGTGAGCCAGTAGGATGAGGTGACGTTGGTGAGCATCCAGAGGGTGAAGGACGCCAGGGCCAATATGGCGAAGTGCTCAGCACGCGCCCGACGCACATACGAGACATACACTGACACACACACAGACAAAACATCCGCCAGTGGAGTGGTGCACAGTGGAACGAACACCTTGAAGTCGCCTACCGCTGCTTTTGACTCGTCCGGTTTCCCTTTCCTCTTTGGTCATGAGTTTTTTGGGCTCCTTTGTGCCCTTGCCGTCGCCCACGCCGCCGCCATCTGACGCACGCGACCGACGTCCCCCAGCACCCTGCACAGCACAACACGCCCACAACCCATACACCACACCACGCCACAGCACAGCACAGCACACCCCACGCCAGTCGATCAGGGCCGCTTCTTCCCAACGTGCCGTGCCTGTCAGACGGACCTGCTTGTGTCGTTGTTTGTGCTGTTGCTGGTCCCGCTCTTCGTCCAAACCGAACTCCCTCATCATGGCCAGGAAGTCGGGCTCGCCCATCAGCTCGTCGTACGTACCGATGCACCGAATGGAACCTGGTAGCAACACGCACACACATCACACACACAGTATGTATGTCGTATCCATCGCCGTCTGTCTGTCTATCTGTGTGTGTGCGTGTGTGAATCCCGCTAGGTAGGTCATGTCGCACCGAGTGAGTGTTGGCTGTCGACTTTGTCGATAGCGATTGCGTAGTGGTGTTTGTGTTGTCGCCTGGTGAGGGCAGGTGTGGTCGCCGCTGTCATGGCCTCGCTCGAACCGCTCCTCACCACCTGAGCCACACATCCATCCAGACACATCGGCACCAACCAAAGATAGATGCAGCCAGCCAGCGGGTGCCAGATCTCTGTCTGTCTTTCCACACAGCGTCGGCGTGTGTGCGTGCGTACCGTTTTGAGTCCGTCTTCGGTGTGTGAGGGCGGGCCGCCCACGGGCGTGTCGAGCTCACTGCTGGTGGGTGTGTTGGACATACTGGCCTCCTCACCCACACCAGTGTGCGACAGAGAGGGCGGCGGGGGCGTCATCCATATGATGCGGTCACACTGCCGGTCGGACACACACACACACACACACACACAGAGAGAGAGAGAGCGGCAAATGGGATGGTGTGTGTGGTGTGTGAGCGAGTCCGCTGGTTGTGTTTCCTTGCTTCCTTCCGTACGTGTGAGATGTAGTGTAGGTGGTGTGTGACGAGCAGTCTGGTCTTGCCCTTGAGGATGCCCTCGTTGCTGATGCAGTGCGTGAACACCGACCGGCCCACTTCGGCATCCAACGCACTCAAGGGGTCGTCGAAAATGTAGATGTCCGCGTCAGCGTACACGGCTCTTGCGAGCGACAGCCTCTGCTTCTGGCCGCCGGATAGCGTGATGCCACGCTCACCTGCAGACATACGCACATCACATGGGACACAACACCACACAATCAACATCTGCATCTGGTTGCGCTGCGTGTGGAGGACGTGGTGTGGGACAGCTGTGCTGACCGATTTCTGTTTCGTGACCGTCTGGTAGTATGTCTACGTCCATGGCCATGGCACACACATCGATGGCACGCATGTACCGACCCTCGTCGTACCCCAAACCAAACAATATGTTCTCCTGCATACACACAGACCCACCCACAACACAGACAGACAGACAATCACGGCTCGAATCAAGAAGCCAATGGGCTTTTTGTGGGGCCATTGTCACCTTGACAGTGCCGTTGATGACCCATGCGGTCTGCGGGACGTATGCGACTGAGCCCGACATCTCCACCGATCCCTCCAGACAACACAACTCACCTGAGGGAGGGAGGGACGACAGACAGCCATACGCAACATGTATCCTGCTCGGTTCACACACACCATCCACCCGTCCACCCGTCAGCAACCGACGTACCCAGTACGGCCGAGCAGAGTGTGGTTTTGCCGACCCCCACAGGGCCCACGATGGTCACCAGCTCACCACACTTGACCTCCAGCCGCACATTCCGCAGCACCGCCAGGCTGCCACCACCACTGCCTTTGTCATGCCCATCCGATGACGACTCCTGAGGCCCTGCCGTCCTGGGTGGCGGTGGCGCCTCCTCGTCGCTCATTCGAGGCGTTCTAAAGCTCATGTTGGTCTGGGAGGGCAGCGACAAGAGACCACCAGGCCGAGAGGCCAACCGCAGCAGACCACGGTCCACTGCTATCGACCTCTCTCTCGCCGGGGAATAGCCACACAACCACTGCACACACACACAGATGTCAGTCTGTCAGCATCAGGTGGGCTTGTGGACATCGCAGGTTACCCACCTGAAGGCATCTCATGACGACTGATCTCTTTTTGGGAGGATCAGGGTCAAAGCCGTCGCGAGATATCACCACACCGGGCCTGGACCATGCGAATGTGCCGTGGTTGACCCTGATGCAGCCGCGGGGGAGTGCCTTGCGGTCGTGTGTGGCCTGCTGCGTGGCATGGTCCTGTGTGTGGTTGACGACGTATGGCTCGGCCTCCTCTGTGGTCAGGTAGGTCTGCAGCCGGCGCAAGGCCAGGCGAGCATCCACGAGCTGGGTGACCGCAAAGGGGAAGAACATCAGGGGCAACCTGCACCGGACAATCGAGAGACGACAGACACACACATACCAACCGACCAACCGACAGGTGGACACCTACCTGAGTTGGAGGACGATTGCGAGTGCCGTGAAGACTTTGGCTGCGCCCATCGGTTGACCGAAGGCCGCAGAGTACACGGCAAACAACACAACCGCTATCAACTGACGACAGAGAAGTGGAGCACCCACAACCAAATGAGACTGTGGCCAGTTGTTGATCGTGTGTGTGTGTGTTTGTGTCGGTAGGGTCGGTATGTACCTGTGGTGCGGCCCCCGAGACGGCCCTGTTGCCTCCGGTGATGACGGCCAAGCGCATCAAATTCACCATCTCACTCTGAGTCATTCAAGACACAGACGATGCACTCAGGGAGGGAGGGAGGCGGTTGGGATGTGTGTGTGCCTACCTTTCGTATGGCAGCGACCAGTTTGCCGAAGGAGGCCTCCCAATTGTACAGCTGAAAGACAGACAGACACCAAGGAACACTTCCCGGCTGAGTGACTCCACGGCGGTGAGCGCAGCCTCCCTCGTCTGGCCGAACCTTGATGATTTTGATGCCCTGCAGCAGCTCGTTGATCATCTTGACACGCTTGTCGGTCATCGTTGCTGCACACAATGGACATGACACGCAAGCGTGTCGTATCTCTGTTCTTGTGAAGGCCCTTCCCTTCCGTCCCTGTTGGTTGGCTGACCGGCCTTTCTCCTGCGTTCAGCGAGCAGGGCCATGAGGTGTTTCTGCAGCGGCCCCAGCAGCATCACCATACCCACTGCCGCTACGGCGGACGGGCCAACCAGGTAAAACAACACACCCAAAGCCCTACACACACACACACACAGAGAGAGAGAGAGAGATGTCTGTGTTTATTGCTGTGTGTGAGTTTGTTTGTGGTGACTGACGCGATGAGTTGGAAGATAGCGTCCCAGAGTAGGTGTCCGACCATGACGAAGATCTCCAGGCGCTGGCAGTGCAGCTGCATCAAGTTCACTATCTCGCCAGTCGTAAACAGACTACGCGCCTGCGCACTCAAATTCAACGACTTATGGTACACTGAACAACACACACGTACAGCACAGCACATACACCAGTGGTGGATGGATATACGGACGGCATTGCTGCACTGCACCGGCCCACCCTTATGTGATTGCTGGCTGTCCTACCTGCGACAGTGAGTGCGGCCTTCATTTGGTATCCCGTGCGTATGGATGAGAACAGGTACACGCCGTCCAACACGGCCTTCAAAACCGACGCAGAAAAGATACCCAACACCCACAAGTACCCCTGCACGCACACACGGACACATGCATGGAGCCAGGTACCAACGAAACACGACACGAGCAGTGTGTGTGTGTGTGTGTGTGTCGACATGACATCCATACGTGGCTAGGCGGTGCGTGAGGGTTTTCCATCCACTCGAGGAATGCATTGATGAGGAAAAAGGGCGACACCATCGCACAGGTCGAGAGGAACTTGAAGCACCCTGACGTCACTATCTGCCGCCCGAACTGCCGCAGCAGCACTCCCACGATGCTGTACGGCCGACCCGACGCTATCCATCGGCTCACTATCTCCCGGTAGTTCTGATAGAGTGACTCCGCCTTGTCGCACTCGAGCAGCCGCGGCAGATCCGGCAGGTCCACGGGTCGCTTGGCGCCCAGCGCAAGCAGAGGATCCAGCCACAGAAAGAACAGCCGCGAGAAGAGGGACGCATGGGCCTCTGGAACGATATGTGTGTATCACGACACAAAGATCAACAAAGATGCACACATTACAGGTGTGTGCGTACCTGGCGAGACGGGCCTGTCCTCTTTCCGGGAGTCTTCTACATGGCGGAGAGAGGAGGGAGAGGGATGGACCGAAGACGGACTAACCTTCTTCATCGAATTCCGCTCTAGAGAGTTGAGATCTTGAGGGAAAAGAAGAAAGACTTCTTCATGAGCTAAGCTTGCAAGTCCGGACAAGCTCGCAGATCTGCGAGCCACCCATAACCGACCACCGACCCGCGAAAAGGGAAGGGACGAGCGGCGAAGGAGAGATCTCATAGATCCATCCAGAGAGATTCATGAATTCGTCGGCTCTCTCTGCGCTTGGTCCATCGAGGCGGCTCATGGCAAGGGAAGCCGTGCGGCAGATGTCGTCGGCCAGCAGCAGCGCCAGCAGCATCAATCGCATCGCCGTCGTGGGCGCCGGACAGATGGGCACCGGCATCGCCATCGTAGCCGCACAGTGAGTCAGACAGACATGATTGATGCACGATGCAGAGAGAGATGGCATCACATGCATCATACGCTCTGCTGCTTACATTCCTTACAATGTGTGTGCGTTGCAATGCACTGCCATCCATTCAGTGTTGGGCGATGTGCAGTGTCACTCTTCGACTCGTGCGGAGGGCAGCTCGCGAAAAGCGAGAAGTTTGTCGGTAGGGAATCATGCACTCACTGGACACACGGAGCCGCACAGAACCATCCTGTCTGTGTGTGTGTGACAGCGTCATGGTTAGAGAAGGAGGTGGGCAAGGGCCGCATGAGCGCTGAGGACAGCCAAGGGGTGGCGGCGCGGCTGTCATATGTTAACCTCAAGGATGATGCAGGCACAGCCACACACCTATCGCACAAAGACATGGCCTTCGCTATCGAGGTCAGAGAGCGGCCGCTGCGTGCTGTGCTGTGCCATGCCGGCCGATGTGCGTGTGGATGTCTGTGTGTTTGGTATGTATACCTGCCTGCAGGCTGTGGTTGAGGATTTCGGTGTGAAGCGGGAGGTGTTGGGTGTGTTGGACCGTCAGATGCCCCCCCAGGCCATCCTCGCCACCAACACATCCTCCATATCCATCACCAAACTGGCAGCCACCACTAACAGAGCACAAAAGGTACGTCACGTGACGTGTGTAAGGTAGGTAGCTAAGTGGGGCAGGGCAGAGAGCGGCGCCTAATTCTCGACAGCTCTGTCTGTGCACACGTGTGTGTATTCTGTCTGGCCTGGCAGGTGATTGGGATGCATTTCATGAATCCCGTGCCGAAGATGCCCCTGGTGGAGGTCATCAAAGGTCAGTCAGGAGGCCTGCATTGTCGGTTGAAGCGAAACAAATCAATCAATTCTCTCGCTGGCTGTCAGGTCTTGCGACCGATGAGGAGACCCTTTCGACCACTATGGCGTGAGTGAGCCAAACGAATGCACCAACAAGGCCTGCAGGGAGGGGAGGGACGTATGGAAATATGATGGATGCACTGCACTACACCTGGCCATGCATTTGTCTCGTCGTGTGACCCGTTGGTTAATCGATCAGTTTGGGTAAAGTTGGTTTTGGCAAGGAGACGGCGGTGAGTGAGGACCGCCCCGGATTCGTCTCAAACCGTGTACTCATGCCATACATCAACGAAGCTGTCTTCACCCTACAGGAGGTAGGGAGGCAGGGAGGGAGGGAGGTACACGCGCAGATGGATACTTGATACGCAGCTAATGGATTTTGCGCGTCTGTGTGTGTGGTCTATCCGTCCATCCGTCCGTCCGCAGGGCATAGCGTCAGTTGAGGACATCGACAAGATCCTCAAACTCGGCACCAATGGTACACACACACACACTGGCCCAGCACACACATAAACAATTAATTCCACATGCATGCAGTGCCGATGGGCCCCCTCACCCTGGCCGACTTCATCGGACTTGACACGTACGTGAGGAATGCATGAATCCATACATCCATTTATTTGCGTCTCTGCTGGCCGGGCCCCACCACATCAATCAATCCGTGTGTGTGTCACCGGTGTGTGTATAATTAATAGGTGTTTGTACGTCATGCGTGTGCTGCACACCGAGCTGGGCGACTCCAAATATAGACCCGCGCCTCTCCTGGTCAGTCAGGGGGGAGGCACCACGGCACGGCACGGCACACCCAGCCCAGTATGTATGTATGCTGTGCTGTGCTGTGACGGGTTGGATATGAATGTCTGTGTGTGTGTGTGCACAGGTTCAGTATGTGGACGCTGGCTGGCTGGGCCGTAAGAGCGGCCGGGGATTCTATCGCTATCAATGAACGAATGAATGACACCGAATACAATACTTGTGCTGTGTGTTGATTGAGTGACCGACTTTATGAGCTCTGTGACTGCATTCCGTCAGTCAGACAGACAGACAGACAGACATGTGTTTGTTGGTGAGTTGACCTGGACCAAGGTCACATCACATCAATCATCTGTTAGTTGGTCGAAAACACCCGTGCGTAACTCATTCATCCACGCAGGGGACAGGCATGGCACATATTCATCCTCCCTCACCCCCCTCTCACAGAGCCTTGCTTGCAGTGCAGCCGACATGGTCGGACTCAAACATACAAGTCGCTCGGGACGAATAGGCTGTGACTGACACGACACCTCTCTCGGCTCACTGACTGACGGACTGACTGACTGACTGACTGCGTTGGACAGACCACCCGGCCGACCACTGCAGGCAGGCAGACACACACGGGAGCGGTGCAGCCATGCACTGCACCGACCGACCCCCACTCATTCATTCATTCAGTCTTGAGCAGCCTCATAGCGACGAGCAGCCCCACACCCACCACCACAGCCACACCCACCCCCGCCAAGGCAGCCTTGTGCTCACCAGCCCACGACGACAACACCACACGCAGGCCCCTGTCTTTGCCCTCCTCCTTGTTATCGGGCCCCTTGTCGCCGCTACTGCTGTCCGCTGCTGCTGCCTCGGTCTGTCTGGCCGCCTGCCTCTCCTCTGTCTTCCTGCTGCTGACGGTGGACGAGGGGTTGTCGGCACTGTTGGCGGTGGGGAGGCTGTCAGGGGAGATGAGGCGCTTCTCGACGAGCAGCTCCCGCACTCGCTTGACGATGTCGGCCATCTTGGAGGGCATGTCGCGGTTGTCCACCTGCTTGGCCACCACCTGGGCCTTCTCGCACACCGACTTGGAGAACCTGCACATACACAGGCAGACGGACAGACAGACAGGCGCGTGGACGTGTGTGTTGCTGTGTATGTGTGTCTGTTTTGGTGCGTCTGACCTTCGTTCATGTTTTGAGATTTTGAGCTGGAGCTGCACCTGCTTCTGAACCTTTGCACCGGACTCCTCCTACACACACACATGCACAGCACACAGCCACCAACACACGCTCAGCTCATTGAATGATACCGGCCGGCCGGCACTCGGCCAACCGACATCACACACTCACTGACTGACGCACCGGTGAGTCGCCCGGCATCGGGGGGTCGAGCGGCTCCACGCTCTCGAGCACCTCGATGAACCCCTCAAAGTACTTCTCCAGCTGTTGCTCCTCGCTGAGACTGAGAACGTCCTGGTCAGGCCCCTCGTGCACGAAGCCCTCGGAGCGGCGCATGGACACAAACCCGATGCCCTCGAAGGTCGACGGCACGGGTGAGAAGGGATCCATCGACGTGTTCACCTGATGGATGGATGGATGCCATCATACACATCCATCCCATCCGTCCAAGATACATACACCGTAGGAAAGCGACCGAGTGAGATTGGGAGGGACGGACTTACGTGCAGTTGGTCGTTAGCGCGATCAGTGTCTGGGGAGTCATCCTCAGGGACGATGCGGATGACCCCTCGCCAGGGCGGCACCGGAAAGGGCATGCCCGGCATGCTGCACACACACAGCACAACGAAAGGACGGACGGGCATGCAGCCAGACAGACTGTCGCCTCCTTCGCCTGCATGGCATGGTGTGTCGGTGTGTGTGTGTTGACTGACTTGACGGCTGCCATTTGTAGTGTGTGTGGTGTCTGGTCGACGTCGACGTCGTACTTGACGTCCATGGGCATATCGCTGTGCTCCACACTGACATGCATCTTGGTGTCATCGACGAAATCAAAGACCTGCTCATACCCACCCTGCATCACATCACACGCAGACCACACACAAACAGACCTATAATGAATAACACACTCTGTTTGTGTGTGGGGCATGGCGTGGCGTGTGCCCCCGCCCCCACCCACCGACCCACCGACCCACCGACGGACCATTTGCTGCGACACGGTGCCCCTCCACTTGCCCCGCAGCCGCTGCAAGAACATCTGCTTCAACGCCTCCTTGCGTGCCCCCTGCAGAAATGCATTGCCAGGGTCCACCTGAAGACCCCTGTCGACGGCCTGCAATGCCTCCCTGGGCCGCCTCAGCTGCAGGAGGGCGCCGGCCTTCCTGCCCCAGCCCTTGCCAAAGTCCTCCTTGAGCCGCACGCACTCCTCGGCGTCGCCCAGCGCATCTTCAAGGGCATTCACACGGATGCGGGCGGCTGATCGGTTGGAGTACAAGACGTGATTCGCAGGGTCCAACGATATCGCCTCACTCTGTGGAGTGCACTCAGTCAGTCAAACACACAGGCAGAAGAGCCACCAAACATGAACAAGCACATCCATCACACACGTTGGTCTCTCTGCCACACGTGGCTTCTCTCGGCCTCCTTACATATCTGTCGATGGCCTCCTGGAACTTGTTCTGTGTGAGCAGGTCGTTGCCTTCCTTCTTGAGCCGCTCGGCGCGTTCCTTCGGCTCCTCATCATCGCATGGCCTGTCGGGGTCAGGCACTGAATCATGGCTCTCTTGACTCTCCTCTGCAGTCGCCATGTATAGGAGCCTTCTGAGATCCTTGCCCCTTTCAACTGCGAGCTAAGAGAGCAGATTTGCGAGCTGTGCTTTGAAAGACACACGGCCCGCCTCCCATCCCATCCTCCCGTCTCGTGTGCGTTCGCTCAGAGATGAGATATGTCAGGGGCAGCAAACACCACCTTTCGGCGAAGGAGCAGCACAGACCAGTCCAACGTCCCAGCAGGCGAGATGGGGCGCTCACTACTCATGGTCCGTCTGCTGCCGACAAGCGCCCTCTCCCTCAACACTCTCTTCTGCCTCGCTGTGTTGCTGTATGTGTTGGCCTGGGCGCTGCTGGTGCTCTACAGTGGGATGCTGTTCGGCACTGGCGGAGGTGGCGGCGGCCCAGATGACCGGGCAGCCAGGCGGACTCGGAAAGAGGCGTTTGATTCATGGTTTGAGGACATCTTGGAGCAGTGGATACCGCCATGGGCCAGCCCATCGCTCTATCAGCTGGAGGACCTCTATGTGCCATCAGCAGGGGAGGAAGACGGTCACACACGTCACCCCTGCAGAGTGGTCATCCTGACGTCGGGCGATTTGCGCATCGACATCGACGAGCCCCTGAGGGCCAACCGGCAGCTCTACGCAGCCCAGCATGGCTACTGCTACAAACACCTATCGTGTATCAGGGGCTCGGGGCAGCGGTGGATGAATGATAATAATGAGACGGAGAGTGAGTCCGGCGGCCGTGACAACGAGGGCGACCGCCGGCTGTGCCACTCGCCGCATTATTGGCGGTACATCGCTTTGTGGAAGCTGATGCGCAGCGGGACGGAGTGGATTCTCTACCTTGACGGCGACGCCATGTTCACCAACTTGAACCGCACGGTCGAGGACGTTACGCGCAACCCGGCCTACGCCTCCCCCTCCACAGCCCTGCTCGTCGGCACAGATGCCGACTGTCAGAGCCCCAAGTTCCCCCTCAACAACGGCGTGATGCTCGTGAGGGCGTCCACCTTCGCACACATGCTGGCCTACCATGTGCTGGTGCGCAAGGACTACCACCGGGCCCTCAACCACACCGACAAGTGGGGCGCCAGGGGGCTGCACGACCAGCCCATTCTGATCGAGGTGCTCGCCGAGCTGAGGGTGATCAACCCGGAGGCCATCCAGGCGGCCTGCAGCAGCGGGGCCATCGTCAACCACACGGCCAGGGGGGAGGTGCTGCACCGCGGCAGGCATGTGACGGTGCTGCCGGGCAGACTGATGAATTCCTTCAGGAGGGGCAACACATACGCCGACATGCCGGAGCTCGTCTGGCAACCTGGCGACTGGATCGCTCACTTCACAGGTTGGCTTAACCAACCAGTGTGCCAATCCATCAGGACTTGATCTCTTCCTGATATATGTTGGTTGGTGTCGTCATTCCCTCAGGCACTGCCAACAAGGTGCGTCGTTATTTACTGCGCGAGACGTGTCACGCGTCCCACGTGGCAGGCCACCTGGCGGTGTGTCCCTTCGCACTGTCGTCCCTGCTGACCCCCGACGAGGCGGCCTCGGTCATGGAGACAGAAAGGGTGGCGCTGAGTGAGCGGCAGCTGCGGCGGGCTCACAGCCAGCGCAGCATGAGGATACAGAGAGCAGCGGAACAGATCCGCAGCAACTCAGACAAACTGCCAGGGGCACTCGACCACCTCAGACACACAATCGACCGGTGGGTGGGTGAAAACACACAACCGACCGACAAGGGCCTTACTCACCTGAGTCGGAATAGGCGTCCATATCTGTCTGTCTGTATGTGTGTGTATGGTATGTAGGTACGTGACGCGTCTGCTTGAGTGTGCGGACTGGTCGATGGGTGAGGGCGATGAGGCCAGGGGCGAGGAGATGCTGGGCTACCTCGAGGAGGTCGCCCGCCAGGTGTGGCAGAACGCATTCCAACTCGGCACTTACACACTCAAGGCCGCTCAACACACAGCAGTAACCACCGCACACTGACTGCACAACCCGACACGCAGACCACACAGTCAGTGTCTTGCGCATCCATCCATATGCTGTTCGTTGTGGATGCCACCATTCAGGAGCAGATGGTCAACATCGATCAGTGCGGAGTGCCAGATGGTGTGGAGGCCACCACAGACCTGCCGCTGTCTGCAGACGGCAGCCGGCCGGATGAGTCCGATGCGTCTTGCCAAGTAACTGACGCCGGACAGATAGCACTGAGCTGACTGACGGAGGGGGCAGGAAGGGATAACGAGTCCAGCACGAAGGATTGGCGCGGTCGGGTCAGCTAGTGAGGATGTCCGTCCGTCTGTCTGTCTGTCTGTCTGATTGATCGATTGGAGAGATGGGAGAGGCGGGCGGGCGGCGCTCTTTCTTTGTCTTACACTATCATCATCATTATCATTGTATACATACCGTATTAGTCACTCACTCCGTCCACTGGGATGTGTCTGTCTGTCTATCTATTTATGTCTGACCAGCTAGACAAGTGTACGTGTACATCTGTGTGTGCGTGTGTTGCTCGGGTGGGCCGATCAGAGAGACTGACTGGCGCTACTGGACGGACGGACGGATGGATGGATGGATGAAGGGATGAATGAATCCATATCACTTGAATGAACAACATTTTGATACAAAGAGTGACATACGCACCCATGAACGCATCCCATTGGCCAACACACGCACATCTCTTACTTAGCGCTTAATTTCTCATCCACAGACAGATACCTCACGAGGATGCCGATGACTCGGCTGCGTCATCCTCCTCTTCCCGCGGCGGCTCGGGAGACACGCGAGCCGGTCCATCCTCCCCCGACAGGAAACCGGACCCCTCCCTCCGCTTGTAAAAAATAGTCGCCTCGCCCCTCCCACTCCACCACAAACGCGTCAAGAGCTCCCCAATGTTCTTCACTATGCCTTTTTCCTCAGGTATCGCGGCCATGATGGCGAGAACGACCAGCTCCACCAGGCACATGTCGAGCAGCAGCGAGAGGAGCAGCGACATGAGGTAGATGCGGGGTGCGGGGTCACTGAGGGATATGTCTCTGTCCTCATTATAGAGGAACCCTGACAGCCGCACCGTTCGCTCGGGATCGCCCGGTTTGAGGGCCAGTCGGTAGAAGAGCGCCGACCTGACTATGTCACCGTCACTGGCTTCCTCCGGCCACTCTATACTGATCTCTTTGTCGTGGTGCTCGGCCGTGAAGGTGAAGAGGACGAAGGCCATCATATAGAAGGCCAACAGGAAGAAGACCAGCCAAACGACCAGCTGGAGCACAAACAGGCCCTTTGCGGCCACGATGCGCTTCTCGGCAGCCTCGTCTGATGAGTAAGGAGACGGGGCGGTGGTGGTCTGGTACTTGTCTGAGGACCGTCGTCTCCTGCCCCCCTTTTTTCTGGCCCTCCTCTTGTTCATCTGTCTCGTGCAGTAGGCGATGGCAGAGGTGATAAATAGGGGAAAGAGCCTTGGCGGCTCCAGGAACATCTCGATATAGAGGGCTTCCGTGTCTTCCTCTTTGATGCCATGCCGCTCCACGAAGGCCTCAAATGGGAGGGGGACCCACAGACCGTACGAGGGCAGGAGGGAGATAAGGCTGACAAACATGGACGTGATGAAAATCTGAAACACGTCCCATCCACTCCACATGTGGTCTTCACTAGCACACTTCCATGTGCTGTCGACCACCCCGCTGCACCGCCCCTCCCGCCCCTCGAATGTGCCGGCGGATAAGAACGTCATGCCGGGGAGGAAGAGGATTGACACCGCTGCGGTGTGGGAGAACACACGCAGGAACAGCAAGACCGCCTTCGTGTGCTTGGCCCAGGCATAAGTGCCCGAGTCGTGGGTCAGGCACAATAAGGAATGGAACTCCCGTATGTGTTCGTTGAATCGAGACAGATACCGTCCTGCCGCTGTCTTGGGCTCTCGGTCAGCATCCTCAGCCTCATCCGACTCCTCTCCATGTGCCTCCTCGTCGCTGGCCGCTTTTTGTTCCCCCGCCCGGCTGACAGCCATTGGCTGCCCCTGCCATGTTGAGTACAGAAACTGCGGCTGCGACCCGACAGTGTAGCCCATCATAGGCGCAGAGGCAAAGGAGGGGCTGGTGGCTGCCAATGCCATTGTGGGGGAGCCCGAAGGCGTCCGAGAATCGCTGTCTCTGCTGTCGCTCAACCTGGCGTCATCGATCGCCATCGGTGGGGGGCTGAAGTGCCGTGCGTCATCAACTCGCTCATGCGGTGGAGGCAGTCTCTGAGCACCGCGAATGGGCGGCAGACGTGTCTGACGTCGTGTCGTTTGTATGAAGGCACTCTCACGAAGGGGCGCACGCTGCTGCTGCTGCTGCTGTTGTTCATCTTCCTCTTCCTCAGGTGGTGTGGGGGGCGGCTCGACTTCATCATCGGCCACCGATATGGCCTCGTCCATGTCACTGTCCTCCTCATCGTGGTCCATCTCGCCCACCACCGGTATCCACAGGGAGTCCTCGAGCGTCACCTGCCCCTCATCGCGCGACTGCATGCCCAAGGCCACCTGTGCCTGGTAGGGCAGCCCGCTGAAAGATGCTGCTGTTGACGATGCAGTGCCGGTGCGGGGAGGGCCCTCAGACACTACTATGGCACCCATCTGAGGGACGGCTGGATCGGAGACACGGTGGCTGCCAGGGAATGGGTGCTGCGGGAATGAACTCGGTGAGACGGGCATAGTGGCGTGCAGGGGGGGCCCCATTTGGCTGGGGAGTGCGTAGGCAACAGGCTGAGAAAGCGGTGCCTTCAGCAAGAGCTCCGAAGCGGGCGGGGGCGGGAATGCTGTCGGGTCGGAGAAAGCACCATCTCGCAGCTAAACAGCATGTCAGCATGCATTGTTTAAGGAGGCATGCAATGCATGGGTATGTAATGAGCGGCTTTCCTCTTGTTCCCTGGCTGTGCTGGCGTGCTGTTTCCTTACCTTGCTGGCTTCCTTTTCTGCGCCCTCTACGGCTTGTGTGGCTTGATCGTCGAGCTTGGCCAGCTTGAGCTTCGTCCGCCGCCGCTCACTCAAATCCGCCCACCAACCCAACACAATTGACGACAGCGCAAAACACAGCAGACCTATCGAGCTCGATACAAGGAGACGCACCACACCCGTGGATGGATTCACGACTGCCTGGCCGACATACGTAAGTACAGGCACCTGTGGCGAGGTAGGCGCCCATAGCGTTGCCTGGCTCGAGTCGGGCCATCCACCACACCTTCCGCTCATGCACGATGGGCTTCGGTAGGGGCGGAGGGGGAAGAGGTGCGCGAGGCACAGGCAGCATGCTCATGGTGGGAGCCCACTGCATCGTCGCGTTTGCTGCGGTGGTCAGCAGAGGGCACGTGCACGACACTTTGACGCCCGTGACGGTGTCGTTGCCTCCACTGTTGGCGAGGAGCTCGGTGATGGTGGTGGGCTGGCAGCCATGCTCGAAGGCGTAGCGCCACTGCTCATGGCCGGGGTCCCACACTACACAGACATAGGAGCTGACATAGGTCGAGTTGAAGCAGACGGCAGACGGCTTCTGGAATGTGTCGCTCTCGTCGCATGCAGGGATGGTGTGGGTGAGGGTGATGGTTGCCCCGTCACTGGTCGAAGAGTTGAGTTCGCGAGCGACAAGAGCGGCCATTCTCTCCTCTGTGCTCGCATTAGCTCGATACACCTGGATATAGACAGAGGGGACACGGCAGACTCAGGCGTACATCGCTGATCTCGCTCCTTCACCTGTATGCCCAGGGATGGTGTGCCCGTGACGGCGGCTCGATGACTCCACTGGGACCACTCAACGCCAGGCTTCCCCATCCAGGCCACAAACGAGCAGTCAGTACAGCTTAAGGCCCCACTAGAAGGAGCTGCAGCACTATACTGCAGCCGACTTGTCGACACGGCCCCTGCTGCTGATCCAGGGTGGCTGCCCGATGTCTCCCATGATACCACGGCCTCACCAGAGACCGACAGAGAGAAGGAGCCCACCAAGCCGAGGGAGCCCGACGTCTCTAGTGTTTCCACCGTGTTGGGCTTTGCTGTCTGCAGCGAGGCCTTGGCCATGAGCATCTCCTGAATGAATTGCAGGTGTCGGCTCATCTTGGCGGCAGCCTTGCGGGAGACGACAGGAAGCTCTCGGTCCCCCCATCTGAGTGTACTCGTCAGCAGCATGGACGTGTCTGGCTCGCTGACGGCAGAGGGATTGCCCCATTGGGGGGGCAGCCACCAGCCGGGCAGAAAGGAGGGCGCACTGCTCGAGGCGGGGCTCCTCTGCAGCCTCCTCCGTGAGAAAGTGGCCCCCGTAAGGACATCCGCCAAGTAGAAGGGGAACGGGGAGGGGACGACAAAGGATGGAGGGATCCCACACGGACACTCGCCCAGGAATGCGGGGGCTCCTTCAGTTGACGAGTTGAGAACGATCATCTTGCGGAGATTGCTGGGGGGCTGAAAGCGATCCGGACTCACTTTCTTGATGCTGAGTTTGGCCTCGACATTCGACAGATCGGCTGCAGTGTACACGTGGGCAAACGAGGAGGGAAATTCGAAAGTACAAGTGGTCACTGGTTGCTGTTTCCCGGTGTCATTTGGTGGTGGTGGGGTTGTGCATGAGACGTTGGCCTTGAGATAAGTGGGGTCCCAGCAGAGATAGGATGGAGGCTCACCGGCTTGTTGCTCCACATAGTATAGGCAGAACGGGCGGGTGTTGTCATGGACCAGGGCATTGTAAGGTCCCTCCTCCCCTTCCACCAGCGCCGAGGCCTCATCCGGTGGGATGGGCGGCAGCAGAGACACGATACCTTCTGTCATGTTGAGCACTGTCTCGAGGGCCGGCCCGCTTAGGGAAGATGCAGAGCTTTCCAGGACAATAACGCCCAGGAAGTCAGTAGCGACTGCGAGAATTCCCTCCGACAGCCGAGAGCTGTCGCTCAGGACATGCCTGAGGACCTGCAGATGCAGCTCAATGTAGGCCGATGACAGGGGAACCAGCGAGGCAGCTGCCGCAGCGTCAGTAAACAAGGTCTCCGCCATGCCCAGGATGTACTCGGCCATCTCTTGCTGCAGAAGCCGCTGGCTGGCCATGCGATCGCACGCTACGCCCTCCCAGCCAGCGTCACACACACATCGGTCGGTGTCTTGTTTGGTCACATAGATGAGCTGTTGTTCGATGACCTCCACTGTACCATCCCTGTTGACCCTCGTCAGCGTCACTCGAGGGGAGAAGTCCACACTCGAGGCATCGACTGTACGGGCCACGAGCCGCAGCTCCTGAACGAGTCGCACGTTGGGACACCGGCCATGTTCACCGCAGTGCTCGCTGCAGTTGAAGGAAAAATCGCTTGGCTGCGTGCGGTCCGGCCAGAGTGCCGCCAGAGCCACCTCCTGCAAAGCCTGCAAGACGGCAGACGGGCCGGAAGCACGAAGACGGTCGATGCTCTCCTTGATTTTATCGAACTCGGCAGGGAGTGAGACGGGCTGCGAAGCGGGGACGGCAGATTGTTGGTAGTCGAGGGGTAGAGCGGCGAGCCAGGGGTGGAGGGTGGGCCCCGTGCTCTCAAGAAACGACACATTATGGGTGGCTGATGTGGTCACTGAGCCCAGCCAATCCGACACGACCGCCCTAACGCTGAAGCACACACAAAGCCCAAAGGCATGTACATCAGTCAGCGACACAATCCATCCGGTCCTCACCCAATCTTTCCACGTCTCGGATAGAGAAGCGCTTTCAGGTGAGGCACATACATCCAATCCGACAGCAACACGAAGTCCTCGTCCGTGTCTGACGCAGTAGTGCGGGCTGTGGTGTTGGCTTCCGTCACATTGGGGGACACCTCGTTGGGTGCGGCATCGATGAACGGATAGAAATCCCTGTGGCGCGTCTCAAGGAAGGGCTGGTACTCAAATCTGTAGGCAAGTGGCAGATGGTCGGCACTCCACCCCCTAAGGTCGAAGTCCGCCTCCCAAAGCCCAAAGGTGGCTGCCTTCTCCATTGCTCTCACAGACAAGCTCCCTCCCCCTGGTGGAGACGACGCCTCGATCAGCTGGTCCGCGGTGACCTTAAGCAGCGTGCTGTCGGGATTGACGGCAGGGTGCTGCCAGTCGAGGCCTAGAGTGAGAGTCAGACGAAAATTCAGGACAACGCCTGGCAGCAGCAGCAGTGGCGGCACGTGGATGAAGAGAGAAGAAGACTTGGAGGACAGGTCAACGGTGGCGTTTGAAAGGGTAGCATTGACACTTTTCGACCGTGATGGTGTGTCTTGGACTGGCCAAAACTGATCAGCTCTCTCGAAAGGGGTGCCCACGCTCCACTCGACCTCATACGCATAGATGGTCTCCCCCTCCATCTCCAACGGTCTCGCCACATACTGGAAATCGCGCGTCGTCGAGGCTGCACCGGCCGCAGGCGACGCCGTCCCGTTGGTCCTCTGATTCAGTTGCGCGGCCAGCACGAAGCCAAAGCCCTCTGGCACCGTCACCACCGTTTTTGCACCTCCAGATGTGTCGATGATTGTCTTGGTTGGTGCGTGCTGGTATGCCGATGGCAGCCCTTCCCCCCTGTCGTAGCTGAGGGAGTCAGCCACGCGCAGAGGTGGCACCTGGTGGAGGGCTGGGACATGTCTCGGGCTGTCAGGCTGCAGAATTGTCATAATGCTCGCCTCTACTGCGGATGGCTCCAGCGTGCCTGCAAAGAAAGGAGTAGTCCATCAAGAGGGAAAGACCTTTATCCTCTGGTGCAGTTCACTGAAAGAGTGAGCGCCTTGGAGAATCCTCCTGCTGATCGTTGCATCGGCAGCGTCCAGTGGGGCGAGCTGAGTCTCTCGCACCTTGACGGTAAATGCCTTCTTGCCGCAAAGACCGGCATTCAAACAGGCTGTGGCAGTGAAAACATAAGTGCCAGGCACAAGCTTGTTTGCAGGAATGAACAGTCGTCTTGATTTGTCTCCCTCGGTCAGATAATCAGCCATATGGATCGGCTGAGAGTCGTTTGTTCCCGTCCATTCTAACGAGGGGCTCTTGCTGAACAAGGCCGTCACCTCGGCTGGCGGCAGCTGACGGAGACCCGTGCAGCCATATGAGATCAGCACCTCTATCTCCAACAGCAGGGGGTCGCCCTCCGAAAGTGTTATAGCCGGTGGCTGAAACCCATGGACGACTGGCACTGGGGCTTCATTCGGCAGAATCTGCATCGAGTGGCGGGTGCTGGCACTCTGGCCCAGGACGTCGGTGATGGTGAGCTCGAAGGTATAGAGGAAGCCCGACGTTAGTGGAGGGGGCAGCATGCCTGTGCCCCACCACTCGGCCGACGCCACGAAGGAGAGAATGGAGCCGTTGACAAGCTGAGGACTGTTTGAATACACAGTCTGCAGCCGCAGGAGCTCGGCTGATGCTGCCGCTGGTGTCTGTGTCTCGAGCGCATTCACGTCATGCACTCTCCATTTATACTGAAACACAACACCGAAAGGACACCAGTTGGCCATCCAAAGACACACTTATCTTATATGTACCATTATCGGCCACGTGGGAAGCCCAGGGATTGTGGAATAGGCACCGGACAGATCCGCACCCATACACCGAGATATCGCACCCGGCCCTGAGATTATCGCTCTGAGAGGGATCTGGGGCGTGCCTGCTTCCACCGTGACATTCTGAGCCTCATTTGCCGACCCTAGGGAGAAATTAGCACCTTAGTAGCAGTCATGCACCGATGATGCCATACAACCCGCTTACCCGGCGCGAATCGGTATCGCCTTATCGCACCTTCTTCGATGGCCAGCACTGAGCCAGGTCTTACAGTCGCCCCTTCGGCAACCACAATCCGGGCTGTGCCGGGACTGTCGAACGAGCATGACGCCTGTCCGGCTCTCATATCCCCATTGGTAGCTTCGAGAAGCCGCAAAGGCTCTGCACCAAACAGCGACTGGCAGGGGAAGACCCGCTTGGTGGTCGGGGGCCCGCCCGTTGACGCGACGCCCCCGATGACCACCGGATTTGGCGAGAACGAGAGGGAGATGGCGGCAAACGAGGGTGAGAATGTGGCGGATACCACCCTTGAAGGGACGGCCTCGACGCATATCGAACTGTATGCACAGAAACACACGTACGCTCCGGTTGGTTGATTGGACTGCCATGTCATTTGTGTGTGACCTGGGTAGCGGGTAGTTTGGGGCATCGACTGATGGGCTGACTCGGAAGCAGTAGAAGTCATCTTCGATGCCACATGTGACATTGCACCCGTCCCCACTTAGCAAGTTGCCTACATCAGAACATGGTTCAGTGACGTTGGAGCATACACACACACACTCTCTTGTCTGTTTGATCAAGCTTTGCACCGTCGTCACATTGCTCCATAGCCTCGACCAGGATAGAGTCCCCGCAGACAGTTGAGCACTCAGAAAGCTCACCAGACGACGCAGGCGGCCTGGTACACTCATACCCCTTCTCGATCTTGCACCCTGAATCACATCCATCCCCCGAACTCGTATCGCCGTCATCACACTCCTCCGACGGCTGGACGATGCCATCGGAGCACCGCGACACTCCTTCGTATCGACATGATTGACAGCTCTCTGTTGATCCTGTTGTGTTGGACGTCTCGCACTCCTCATGTGCATCCAGCCGTCCGTTGCCGCATGTCGATTGGCAAATTGAAGGCTTGGGCCCATATGGGCTGTCTACTATCGCTTGGGCAAGATTCAGGTCCACTGAGGGAGGCAACCCCCCATCAGATCCCGACTCCCGCTGACTCCACAGTTCGACGCTCTCTGACATCGCAATGAGAGCCGTGACGTTGCTGAGATATTCCGAGCGGTTGACGGGTGGCAACGGCGCTCCTCTGGTGCAGTGGTAGCCTGGTTGTGTCTTGCCGTTGAGGCATCCGAGCGAGAGTGGGTCAGCAGAGGGCATAACAAGAGGCAGAATGGCGGCGAAGAGGGCTCCCGTGTCACATGTCTCCCCTCCTGTCTCATAGCCATCCCCAAAGATGGGCGAACACACAGACGGCTTGCCCCCCTGGTGACACACAGCAATATACATAACAGGAGACGATGAAGCAACAGGATACTCCGTGGATGCCTGTGCATTCGTGGCGTGATGGCCCCACCATTTCTTCGCGTCTATCGCATGAAAAGGTGCTTTCCACGATACACGTCTTGCTGCAGCCGTCACTGGCCCACGCGTTCCCATCGTCGCTGTAAGAACGAGAAGAGGCAGAGTACATGATTTGCCAAAAGGGCGTCTGGCTCTTCTTTCGACCATTCTTCCCCCAGTGGGTGGACAGTCCCATCACCACAGTGTGGCCTGCAAACGGATATCGGCCGCTTGGCGGCTTGTTGTACTTGGACCTGGTCCTGTCTGGCTGAGAGTGTTTCGTTGATGAGGACGAAGGCGTCGTCTGTGCTCCCCGCTTGAGCAGTGGATGTCTCGTTGGCTGCAGGGCCGGTCACTTGCAGGAACGTTAGCGGTCCCTGCTCCATCCCTTCAAAGCTTAGCTCACACAGCCAGCCCTCCTCAATAAGGCACTGTGAGCTGCAGCCGTCACCATCTACCAGATTGCCTACAGACAGAGAGGAAGAGAGTCCGTGTAGTTCCACGTCGTGGTCGTTTCTCATGACAGGTACAGTACCATCGTCACAGCTTTCCTCTTCCTGGACAAAGATGCCGTCGCCACACACCGCTCGGCACTCAGTTGTGCCGTTGATGGGCTCGATCAAGCACATGTAGCCAGTGAGGATCATGCAAACCCCTGCGTCACACCCCGTCGGCAGCGACGGGGGCATGCCGGATGGGAAGGGAGTGATGCCGTGTGTTGTCCAGTTGAAGACTCCACTGCCGGCAGGTGTTGATCCTTCACCGAGGCCGATGAGAGGGATGTCGCATTGCTGCACGGCAGAAAGGACGGGCTGAATGCAAGTGCAAACATCTTCTTTAAGTGCTCGCTCACACCTCATTGCCAACAACAAGACCATCGCCGCAGACCTCTTGGCATACGTCAGTGGATAGGGCAGAGCCTCCGGCACATTCATAGCCTTCTTCCACAGTGCACTTGGCACTGCACCCTCTCTGCTCGATCCCACCTGGCACATTGATGTATATTGGAATTCACTCTGACGTACTATTCGGCTCACCTGTGTCACAGTGTTCGTCGCCGACTCTGAGGCCGTCGTTGCATACCGGCAGACACATGCCGGGGCCAGTGACGCTTTGATGGCACTCCCACCCTCTTGCTATTCTGCAGTCTGAACAGCCACCGCCTGAGAGGGGCACAGCCAGGGGTCGTAAACGGGGTCCTCTCGACGACAACTCTGTTTGTATGCGGTACGTACCATGGGACTGGTTCCCCAGGTCGCATTCCTCATTGTCGGATTTGAAGGCGTCGCCACATTCGGCTGCGCACTCCTGCTTGCACCTGCAAATGATGGCCCGGTCTGGAGTCGACAAAGGAACGCCTTCAGGTACAAAGCACTCGCGAGGGCACGCACACTGGAATCCCTGCTCGATCCGACACCGATCATCGCATCCGTCCGCAGCCAGTAGATTGCCTACATGCATACAATCACAAGAGGGGTCCGTCCGTCGGCGACGCTTCAGCGTCCTTGACCATCATCGCATTGCTCATGCGGCGACTCCAGCACGCCATTCCCACACGTCGAGGGACACTTGAGCGGCTCCCCCGGCGACCTCAAGGAGCATTCGGAAGGCCCCTTGATGAGGGGCAGCTGGACGCCGGGCGTGAGGGTGAGGCGATCCACTGATGGCGAGTTGGCGAGCTCTTCGCGCATTCTCTTGTATACCGCGGCGGCTGATGGGTCTAGACTTGCGGGGCAGCACTCGTACGATTCCTCAACAAGACATGAAGGGGAGCAGCCATCGCCGCCGCTGAGACACACGAAAGATGCTCCAAGTATGTCCAGATGCGGAACCTGTTGCCTCATCCCTTACACGATATTCATGTCATCGCAACTCTCCCCTCCAGCTGTGTAGCCGTCCCCGCAGATGGGAAAGCATGTCGACCGTCTTGCTTCCGTCATGATGTCGATGGCACATTCCCAGAAGGGCTCGATGGTACAACTCGACGAGCAGCCCTGTAGGACAAGCGCTGCAGAAGGAGGGTGGATTACTTGACGCTTGTTCACCTTACGTCATCGTTGTGTGTGTTGCCGTCATCGCTAGAAAGGGACGACAGGAAGAAACGTGAGTCGGTGTCACCATATTTGTGCACAAGATTTGCTCTCTCGCCTGCCTCACCACTCTTCCAATCCCAGCTTGCGACCATCGCCACAGATGGGGACGCAAGGCTGCCCCTCCCCCACTTCAGCCCTCATTGGACACACCCAGCCTTCTTCAACAGTGCAATTGGGGTAGGCACATCCATCCGCAGACCTCGTGTCGCCGTCACACTGATGAAAAAGGAGATCAGACAGCATCCAATAATTCTTTGGGTGCATGTCTCAGCAAGCAGCTCGTGATATCACTTGCTCGGTGTCCTTGATCATCATGTCTCCGCACAGGGGGTGGCAGACCGACAGACTGATTGCGGGCCCACCACCCTCGGGCAGAGTGTCTGAGGTGGCTGAGTCTTCATGGCAAAAGTAACCTCTCTCAATCTCGCAGAAGACGCTACAGCCATCGCCATTCACCAGGTTTCCTACATGGGAAAACAGCGAAAGTACGTCAACAGGAACGGCGATCTTGTCTTACCATCATCACACTGTTGTCCCACAAATGTCCCTGAACCTGAGTAGGCAGTCAAATAGTAGGGACGACAGTGGTATCTGTACATGAGAAACGCATCTATTGTGGTTCATTGATCTGCTTTCTTTCGTGATACCGGTTGCTGCTCCGCCCCTTCGTTCTGGCATCCGAATCCCGTCAGAGCACTCGGGCACGCACATGTCCGGCTGATATTGTCGATGGGCCCACTTCTCAACGCCAGCAGGCACCCGTGGCCGATAGCAGCTGAGCGAGAAAACAAAGACAGAGCGAAGGCGGATATCTGATGAGTTAGGCGAAGTTCTGTTTCCTACGTGAAGCCCTTCTCAATCTGACAGGTCCGGCTACACCCGTCGCCGGAGAGGGTATTGGAATCATCGCACTATGTCACCAAGCAGACAGATACAGAGGTCTAAGAGTGAGGCAGAAGTGGCCTAGGTGTGTTCTCACTTGTTCTAGGGGCTTGATAAGCAGAGAGTCCCCGCATTTGGGCAAGCAGAGGTCAGGCTGTCCCGTCTTGGCGCGGCTGAAACACTCCCACCCCTCCTCTACTTGGCAGACTTCATTGCATCCGTCCCCTCCGATCAAGTCTCCGTCATCACAGGCCTGTGTCCACAGGATCTAGGTGGCAAACTACTTCGGGCAGATTGAGTGCACTGACCTCATGCGCAGGGACACGATATCCATCTGAGCAATTCGGGATGCACGCCGAACCATTGATGCCGAGGACTTCATCGCACAGCCAGCCCTTTTCGATGCGGCAAAGGTGGTCGCAGCCGTCGTTTGGGTTTAGATTACCTGCAATACATCAAGCGGGACACCGTAAGTGTGAGAGCGTCTCCCTCTAAGCGCCGTCGAAGCCTTACCATCATCACACTCCTCAAGGCCGTAGGGATTCAGTTTGCCGTCCCCGCAAGCCTCCCGCAGACACAGCTCGACGCCGTTCCTCATCTCCTCCAGATTGGTCTTGTTCACTCTCAAATCACCGATAGCGCTCTGCGCATCCGCAGGGTACTGCTTCAGCCGCACACAGACCCAGCCGGGAGCCACTTTGCACTCTCTTGTGCATCCGTCATTATTGTTGATGTTGGCGTCATCACATCTGGGCAGCGACAAGCAAAGAACTTGACGGGGCAGATGTCCGAACATTCACTCCTTACTCTTCGCCTCCAAAGCGGAAGCCGTCTGGACACGTGGCTTGGCACTCACTTGTGAAGCTCTCCAATGATGGACTCCAGACGTCCTTGCACGTGAATCCGAAACGTGTCTCGATGGTGCAGTTGGACGAACAGCCGTCTCCGTCGATCAGGTTGCCTGCAAATCAGACACAGATTCGTCATTGCATAGCTCGGCAATTCGTATCCCTGAGCTGCCCCTTCGCATGAGAGATTGACCATCGTCACACTCCTCGCGTCTGTATGCTTCGAGATGGATGCTGTTCGTCTCATTGACCGTCTCGTCAATGTAGATATACACGTCTGATGAGCAGACAAACACATTCGTGGATGGACAGACAAGAAAGCGGCCTTCTTTGCGGTATACACACGTCCGTCGCCTGCACATACAACGACAAGGTGGCGGATGCAACGACATTGGCCGCTACAGTCAAAGTCGTTGGCATGAGGTGCACGCACCGCAGTCAATGTTGCAATCATCGTGTCCAGACGGGCCAGGCGAGCACGAATAGAACTTCTCCACCAATCCATGATTGTCACAACCATCGTTCTCGAGCCTGTTCATATCGTCGCACTCCTCAGAGCCCACACGGATCTAAAATTAAACACATGCGTGGCAAATGACAGATGCGTGTGAGGCGCGTGACGCGTGTGAGGCGGGCTGTAATGTTCGTTCATCTTCTCTGACCCACCCCGTCTCCGTGGATGGGGCTGCAGTACAAGTACTGCGTGATATTGTCAGGGGCATTCCAACGAAGGCCACACGTCCAACCTGTCTCTATCTCACACCAACTGTTGCACCCATCTCCTACCAAAAGAATATACAATGGACAAGCATCCAGGGGAAGGAATCGCCTCACCTGGCTGGATGTTTGCGTCGTCGCACCCCTCGCTCTCTTCTCTGATGCCATCGCCGCACAAACCAACCGTCCTCGCCACAAATACATCCGAGGGGGGCGATTGGCCCGTGCTCGTCTGAACTGACAGTCGTAGGCCGTAACTCGTCGATGATCGGAGATTTGGCAAGATCAAATGAGTGTCGAATCCGCTGAGTGTCATTGTTCTGCTTGGCAGCTCAGCCCAATTTGTGCCAAGTCCACGAGCATCTTCATAGACTTCCAACAACATCTCCAAGACGGGCAACCCGCCGGACAGGGTCGGACGATATGTCACGTTGAGTGCCAGAGAGGTCGAATAGGCCTTGCGAAGCGCGAAAGAGGTCAGGGGAGGCTTTGATGGGGCCATGAATCGCGTCGTAAAGTCTGCATACGAGAGCGCTACGGGATTGCCGTAATAGTCTTGATATGAAAGCCGGATGCGATAGCGAGTGCCGTCTCTCAGGTACCCAGTAAAGGGAGCAAGGATGGGCTCTGTTGTGACCGCATGAGTGACCTTTGACGTCGGTTGCTGACTCGCGGTGCGGAGTAGCGGGTGGGGCGCCATTGATGGGCTCGAAGGGTCAAGGAAAAGGTCATTCACCAGTAGCTGCATGTGAGTAGAGGAGCGATGACGTGCATCGCGCTTTCACCAATGTTTTTTTCACCTCAATCGTTTTCCACACGCCATATTCTTCCATCTTGGGCACAACCGTGAAGGAATATGGGGCGATAGGATCTCTGGCGCCCTGATCCCACTCAACCATCTCTGAAAGCGGCAAATGAGAATGACATGTCACACAAATGGCCAGTCATTCTTGCTTTCCTTGCCGTCGTGCCTTCAATATCGACGAGGAGCGACCCAGCTTTCGCGGGCTCGGGGATGCGATAGGAGATGCTGAGCGGCTGAGACACGGGAAGCGAGTCGACCTGGAGTTGAGCCGACTCGGTAAATCGATCGATCCAATGGAACAGATCGTATACATAGGTGCTATTCGCCTCATTGCCATCGGCATCTTGTGCTTGCAGTTCCAAATCATAGGAAGCACCATCCACGAGGCCGATCGATGCTCCATCGCTGCTGTTGAAATCGTCGACCAACAGCGGACCACCTCGATGTATCTGCGCTGGCAAGTATGGCGATACGTTGCTGTCGATGCTTCGGCTTAGGTTGGACGCCGTAAGCAGCAGGTCATGTGGCCCCTGCTGGCAGCCCTCCCAACTCAGCCTCAAGTAGTAGGGCGCGCCAGTGTCGTTGACGGGAGAGGACGGAGAGAGGGATAATATCAGGAAGGCAGTCCACTCCGCCATTGCCTCAGGCAGGTGATAGCGTAGGTTAATTTCTTGATGCAGCCAGGACCCGTTGTGGAGGCTGACCAGCTCGGGGGCCTCCGTATAGTTGTCCTGCCTGAGGGTGAGCCGTGTCGCCGTGACATTGGCCTGCTCGTGATCAAACACATCTTGATAAGACACGATGAGATCGTAGATGGCGCCTTCTAGCAGACGGTGGTGGAAGTCAGTGTCCTCCAGCGGCACGGGGAGGGAGCCATTGGAGGATATCGATGTGAACAGGGGGCTGGCCGAGTCCGTCATGAACGGATGCCAGTGCTGGGACATATTGACTGAGTTGATATAGACCCTGCAGACGGAAACGGAGCAGAAGAGAAAAAAGATATCGGGGTCTCTCACGTGTCACACTTTTCTTTCTGTCCACTGACACGAAGCTGCCCGCTCTTGCGAAGTCCGCATTGACAGTGAGGATGTGGGGCGTGTCGGGATCGGTCACAAGCCTGATCTCGTCTGAGAAGACGTCTAAAGGGGCATTGACGAGCGTGATCGTCACTGTGTTGTGAGATGGCCACTCGGGCAGCACAACCTCAATGGCCAGCCGCTGCGAAACGTCTGTGTTTGGCGCTGGAACGTGAATGACCTGCCCACCCAGACAAGTCGAGGGGGGTAGCTGTCGAGCCATTCCATCGCCTTACTTACCGGCTCCATGGTCGACTCATCAGTGGGAATCTTTGATATCTCCTCATACACTGGACCCCCTCCCCAGCACGTGGCATTCCCATCTGTATCCAGTCCACAGATGAACGACCCCCCGGCAGCCACATCCTTGGTCTTTAAGGGGGGCGTATCACACTGGCCGTTGTCATTGGAACCCCAGCAGTGCGTCATTGCTAGGCTATCGATGCCACAGCAATGAAACGATCCGCAAGACACCTAAAAGGAGGGGGGAGGGGGCAGGGAAGAGAAGATAGGCTTGTTTTCTCCACCAAAGGCACCCGCTGACCTTGTCCCAGAATACTGTGTCTTGATTGTCTTGGTATATATCGCCGAGAACGGGCGGTGTCGTTTGCCCAAATGCCTGCAAGCCCCAACATGTGACCTGTGCAGCATCCAGGACGGCACAGCAGACGTCCTCGTAACAGCTCAAATCACTCCAGCTGTCCACGGCTGCCAAGGCAGGAGGGCTCGTGCGGGCGTCGGGGACGCCCCAACATACCAACACCTGAACAAAAGGAACCCAAATGCGCCAAGAGCGCTTCGTGCAATCAAGATTCTATCTACCTTGGTGAGTGTGGATGCGCATGTGTGGTACGTGCCAGCAGCAATGAGGTCGTATCTCCCCTGATAAGAAGGGGGGACGCTGCTCTGCCGGTTGGAGTTGTCACCAAAGCAATAAACATGGTTCAAATTCGTCACGCCACATGAATGGAAGCCGCCGGCCGTCAGCGAAGTGAAATGCTCGTTCTTCGCCAGGTCCTGTGTCGGAACGTCCAGCTGCCCCTCACTGCCTCTCCCCCAGCAGTGTGCCGTCGGCAGTGCAGAGCCCAGGGTCAGCAGATCATCTTGCAGTGCAAGCGTTGGCACGGACGGGAAGCCGCTGCCCGGCCCTGCTTGGGTAACGCCGCATGCGTGGAACGGTCCGGCCGACAGCTGGGAGAAGAGGAAGCCCACTGGAGGCATCGTGCGGCCAGTGAGGTCTTGGCCGCCATGCCATCCCACAGCAGTGCCGTGCGGGGCGGCAATAGCCAGACAGTAGTCATCTCCACAGTCGATGTGGTCGAAGTGAATAGTAACCGAGGCAGCGGGCATCGCAAAGCTCATCAGAAACGTCCACACACGCCTCCACCGCGACATTTTCATGGCGACCTGATTGTCGCGAATAGCGGCTGCCTGGTGTTGGTTGGCTCAAGGGTTCCCCCTGCTGAGAGAACCTCTTTCTGTCTTTTCTTTCTTCTTCGGAGTTTCCAAAATATGCATGCATGCACTCTGTGAGGGGCGCCCCCGGCGTCCGCGTACAACTTTGAAGCAGATGGGCCCTTACAAGTGTGCAAAGACGCAGGATACGCTGCGCTCTTTGCCGACTTCAGCGGGCACGGGCCGCAGGACGGTTCAATTGGGACGGTTCGATCGCACTGCAAGTCCCTGTGGTGCACACTTTACCTTTGAGAGCAGCAGAAAAGCAAAGCAAAGCACCCGTACACACACATCTACCACCCTGCGTTTCACATCAAGCTGCAAACACTCATCCAACGCAACGCCAACAGGTGCGTCCAACCCGAAAGCTGATGGGAACAAAACGGGTTTGCCTTCCTCACACCACAGGGGCTTCGCTTGCTCTTCTGCTACGTAAGCGTCAGCCGTCCGATGAGAAAAACAATACCGACGCCCAAATATGAGCCGGTGAGAAAAGCAATATCGTCGCACTTCCCTCGCACAGTCATGACATCCTATGGCGCTCCTCGCGCTCGAAACTCAGGCAATATATGAGCCTCTATGAAAATCGATAAAGGCAGCCACGCACATGCAATGTAGACAGTCGCACATGTAGACAAACAAACAAGCCCTCGCGGGGGAGAGATGCGATAGATAGGTAGAGAGTCGCCTTCGTGCCGATCGGCGTCAGAAGGCAGGCAGAGGAAGTGAGTCATCGATACACAGATGCTGCACGCAGGTAGTCAGACACTTGGCCAGTCAAGCCTGCACACCCCTACACGCAGACACACACAGGCAGATGGAGGCGTGCCGCACACTCACCACCCTCCCTCCTGTCTCACCTCAAGTGCTGCCGCCCGGGAGAGCCTCATCAACTAACAGGCCGTTGGTGTCGTCTGTTGGTGGTGGCGCTGCTGACTCGAACCTGACGTCAGCGAAGCCGAGATCAGGTGACACCGTGCTGGAGGTGTAGTATTCCCCATAGCCGGCCTCGTATGGCTCGTAGGTGGTGCTGGTGTCGGTGCCATAGCCAGCTTCATCGTATGGCTCGTAGGTGGTGCTGGTGTCGGTGCCATAGCCAGCTTCATTGTATGGCTCGTAGGTGGTGGTGACGGGACCGACTTGGAGGCCTCGCAAAGATGGAGCCTGCAAGGGAACGGCATATGAACGGCACACCCAATGAGACACGAAGAGCCACGCATGTGGCGCATTCATGGCACAAGATTTGCTGACGCATCACCTGCATGTCGTCTGCGGCAGCTAGGGGGGTGAGGACGGCCACGAGGCAGAGGGCCACGCACACGAACATCGACACGCCGGACATGGTGGAGAGCTTCGAGGGACGATTGGTCTCAAGACAGACACCTGCACACAGCCACAGCGACTCTGCAGCTGTCGTGAGGAGGGACGAGCGAGAAAAGGGGCGGAGAAGGATACGAAGGGGAAAGATCCAACAGTGGTTTTACGCCCAGCAGTGCTCTAACGCAGAACTTAAGGATTTCTAGAAACTTTTTGACGTTTGGGTCTCTCACCGGCCCGTCTCATACATAGATCATTACCTATCACACGTCTCACAAAATCACCGACAACCACACAGAAACACAGCTACATGCACACCTACTCTATCAATAAACATCCACACACAACAAAAACCCGACGGCAACCCTTATATCGTCGCATGGCGTCAGCCCGTGTCACCTTACGACCTCTCTATCCGTCTCTGTTCCCGCAACTGCCTTGGTGCCGTCATTGCTGCCGTCTTGCGCGCCGTTGTCCATGGCTGTGTCGTCCTTGTCGTGAGTGCTCTGCTGGTAGAAGCTGGCCGATATCTCCTCGAGAGTGCGGCCGGTCGTCTCCGGGATGCAGAACAGGATGAAAAACACCAACAGGGCGTTGGTGCACGCGTAAAAGAAAAAAGTGCCTGCAGGAATGAACGCGACAGACATACACAGACACCATCAGTCAGGGCTTCCTGCGTTGGCCTCGCTGAACTGACTGACCGGATCTGGTGAGGAGTGTGAACATGGATTCGAGAGTGGATTGTATGATGAATGCGAAGACCCAGAAGGTGGTGATGACGCACCCCATGCCCAGCGACCGAACCTCCTGCGGCAACACCTCACTCGCTACCACATACATCAGCCCCGCCCAACTGATCGATCGCAGCCACACACATACACACCACATAGCATAGAGAGAGGCAGTGGGGAGTGTCTGTCTGTCTGTCTGTCTGCTGTCCACCTCATGTTCCAGAAAAACATGAACACAATCATCGCGCAGGCAGCTGTAGTCGGCCAGGACGGGTGGCTCTGTGATAAATGGCATCACCAACGAATACAGAGAAACCCATTTGCACAGAACAGAGGAGAAAGACGTCTGCCTGGCTGGTTGGCCGTTCTTCCTACCGGCAAGAATGACAGTGCCAGGACGATGTGACAAATGGTGGTACCTGGCGGGCGGAAACACACACAGACACAGACAACGGACCTTGATCGGCTACGGCCTTGATCGGTCTCACCTAAAGTCCCTATGAGCAGTAGCCCCTTCCGCCCTAGCGTCTCAATCAGAAAAAATGTGATCAACACACCTGTCGTCTAAACACACACACACACACGAGTCCCAAGCACTTATACATGGTGTTTGTGAGGTGGCTCACTATCTCTTTGCCTGCCTCACTGTCTCACCTTTGCGACCCCAATGCCCACACCAGCAACATACGGGCTTTTGACGCCGGCTAGCATGAAAATGTCGGTCGAGTACGGCAGCAACGCAGGCGCCGCCATCATGTTCTACAGACGCAACACCACACACACATCATTAAGTGCGTGAGTGAGGTGGCAGCCATATCTCGCAGACCGCCCGACCTGTGCGACGGCACATCCGAGTGCCACAAAAAGGGGGGCGCGGTTGCGCCACAGCTTAGCCAGCCCCCTGCATACACACAGCACAGCATCCATACCATGCACAATAGACACACATCGATACGATGGATCCAGAGATCCATCCACCCACCCGGCCCCCGTCGCCCCCACTCACTTTCTGCTGGACCGCACAAAGCGAAACGACTCTGCAAAGTCCACCAACCACTGTGCCGTGAACATCTCGTCGCTGGCCCGCCGCCCCGGTATGATCCGCCCCTCCACACATCGCAGCAGCCGACCACTCGCAGAGTGCACCTCTAACCTCGGAGGCCGCGTGTCGCCGTTCTGCTGCTCATGTGCATGTGCGCTGCCGCCTGTCGATGACGAGTGCTCGTTAGTACTATTCGTCGGGGGCTGGTAGCGGTCCGACGACTGATGGGCGGGTGGGGCACCGGCAGGCTCGGTCGGCGCCGTGGATGGGGAGGCGCATGACGATGCATCTGCCGAAGCGGAAGCCGCGTGGAGTGCGGCGACCCGTGCGTTCTCCTGGGCCTGCTTCATGGCAAGGGCGCGGTCACGCTCCTCCTCCATCTCGCGAAGCTGAACACACACAAGCGAGAAGAACACCCGTGTGGTGTGAGTGGAAAGGTCTACCAGGGCCTGTCAGGGTTGTTCCTCCTTTCCCTTGTTGTGTTACCAATTCTTCGATTTCCTCGTCAGAGCCGACGCCCAGCCGTCTCATGTTGCGGCGAGCAGACTCCTTGCGATCCTTGGACATCAACCTGACGCAGCCAACCGACCAACCAATCAACCAACCAAATATGGGGTGGCTGTAGTATGCCGTGCTATACATACTGACCATCTGGGGCTCTCGGGGAGGAAGCTGAGTCCCAGACACTGCACGGCCCCCACAATGCCGGCGATGGCCAGGAGCCACCGCCAGTAGGGCGCCGTGTCAACCATCAGGGCTGCAGTCCCAAACGTAAAGATGCACCCGATACACTGACATATCTCCTGCACACACACACACACACATCAGTTTTATGGCTGAGTGTGCAGTGCGTCCAGTTCAGTTACTCACTCACTCACTGACCTGCAGCAGCCCCAGCCTCCCTCTGAGGTGTGTGGGTGACACCTCCGATGTGTAGGTGGAGAAGACCACCATGCCCACGCCCACACCCAGACCCACAAAGAACCTCCCCACTAGCAAGATCCAGTAGGCCGGCCCCAGGCACATGAGCAGGGCAGCCACCACCAGCAGCGCATCACTGATACCCAAAGCAGGCAGCCGGCCGAGCCGACGGGCCACAACACCACCATACAAACTGCCGACAACGGCGCCTGCGCAATCAATGCATCAGATGGGTCGTGACAGCACGGTTGGCTGAGGGATGGATGAAGGGTGTGTGTGTGTGTGTGTGTGTGTGTGTGTGTGTGTACCAGGCGCCGGCATGGCGACGAATAGCTCCTTGAGTAGGCAGGAGAACTGTTGACCACAGACGTTGAACTCATTACGCACAGGCTCCAGCACCACAGACACAACTGTAAGGTCATAGCCCAACAACAAACCTGCACCAACAGAAACGACAAAGGTCTGCACATTCCACTGCACACCGCACCCACTCACCCACTCACCCACCCACCTGTCATGGCTGCGAAGGACACCACCAGAAACAGCAGTGCCCGGCTCCGCTGCGGCCCTTGCGAAGAGGAGCCGCCCGCTCTCCCCCTGCCCTCCTCGGCTCTCGCAAGCTCCCCATTCGTGTGCATGCTGCCGTCCTTGGCCGCATTTGCCGCAGTGTGGTCATGGTCGATGAGGCGCTCACGCGGCAGGTCGCTCTCAAACGTGGCACGCTTCATCAAATGAGATATCGGCTGGAAACCAGCTTCCTCTCCGTTCCCTTGCGAGCTACACCGCGAGCTTCCTTGCAAGATGGGTCAGGATTTCATCATTGGATGCGTCGGCAAGCCATCTGCAGGTACGCAGGAAGGCGGGAGATGGAGATTGGTGCGAGCACCGATGAACCACATCACTGGTGTGTGACTCCCTTCATTCATGTGAACCGCACACGCAGGCAAGTCGACGTTCTTCAACGCTGTGACGGACGGCAAGGCCAAGATCGGCAACTATCCCTTCACAACCATCGAGCCAAACCAGGGCGTCGGCTACTACACCACACAATGCCCTTGCAAAAAGTAGTTAATGAGCATCGCTGACTGACCACAACGGAGCAGCAGGATCAGATCCATCATCCACTGTCTGCTTGCTGCGTGCCCTGCCTGTGTGTTGTGTCTGTATGTGCAGATACGGTGTCAGGTGCCGGCCACGGTATGGGTGGTGCCACGATGGGCGGCGGAAGGTGCCTGTTAAGCTGCTGGACGTCGCTGGGCTGATCCCTGGGGCGTCAGAGGGCTTGGGTCTGGGCAACAAGTTCCTGGACGACCTGCGGCACGCCGACGTGCTCCTGCACATCATCGATGTGTCTGGAACCACAAACGAAAAGGTGGTCGACGGATGGGATCCACCGCACCTACCGTTGAGTGTGTATAAATATTGTGTGTGTGCAGGGTGAGTCGACTACAGGGTACGACCCGTCAGGCGACCATGAGTGGCTCGAGATGGAAGTACAACTATGGTATGGTCTGTTCGCCAGCATACAAATTCCACCAGAGGGATTGGAGTTGTATGCTCTTTCTTGCCTCCAGGATATACAACAATCTGTTTAGTCGGTGGCAGACCGTCGCCAAGCGCCACCAGGCCACCAACAGGTGAACCACACACACCAGACACACAGAGCAAGCAGGTATCTAGACATCAGTCACGCATGTGTGCCGCTGTAGGCAATGCGACGCGTTCATTGCAGTCCCGTCGTGCAGACACTGCTCGCACAGCTGTCGGGCTACGGCGCCAAGGAACCACTCGTGAGTCACGCACTGGCCGGCACACAACGAGCAAAAGTCTGTATTTGTCTTATCTGTGTGTGTGTGTGTGTCAGATCCAGTCGGTGTTGGATGAGCTGCACGTGAAGGATCCCGTCAATCTGATGGAGTGGGACAAGGAGCAGATACGACAGCTGGTGACTGGGTGGGTGGGTGGGTGGGTGGGTGGGTGGCCACACCAGCATAGCACCATACACCGATGGGATGGCCGCCGGCTCACATGTATGTGCCGTATCTCTCTGTCAGGTGCGTGTGTTTGTGCGTCGTCGGTTCATGTTCATCTTGGTGCTCAACAAGGCCGACTCGGGCGGCGACACCGACGCCAACGCACTCAAGCTCTCCCAGAAGTACGACGAGGGGCGAATCGTCATGTGCAGCGCACTCGCAGAATGCTTCCTCAGGAAAATGAAGGACCAGGTACAGTAAGTACCCCAGCCGGTGCAAACAGGCGACTGACTGAGCCATAGATCCATTGGTTGTGTTGTGTTGTGTTGTGTTGTCTTGTGCTGTGTCTTCATCGTCAGAAGTACATTCGTTACGACGAGGGGTCGTTCATGTTCACCACTGCAGAGGAAGAAGAGAATGAGAGCGAGGCCCAGCAGCCGAATGGCGGGCAATCATCAGATGACGCGCCAGGCAGCAGCAAGAGGCCATCATCCTCACAGAAACCGTTGAAGCCGCTGGACGGCAAGGTCTCTCAGCGGCTGGAGAAGATCCGCGACATGGTCCTTTTCAGACATGGCTCCACGGGCGTACACCAGGTACACGGACATACTGTGGTGCCTTTGTGGCGGACACACACCTGTCTGGCTGGCTGGCTGGCTGGCTGTGTGTGTGTGTGTGTCAGGCCATCGATCGTGCGGTGGAGGTGGCAGGTCTGGTGCCAGTGTATCCCGTCAAGAACATCACACACTTCGGGGGAGGGGGCAAGGGCGAGGGCGCCTTCCCTGAGTGCGTGCTCGTCAGACCTGGCACCACGTAAGCCATCCCTGCTGTATGTGGTGGTGAGGATACATACCTTGTGTGTCGTTCCTGACGTTGCAGTGTTCGTCAGTTTGCGGGCATGCTTCACCATGAGATCGACAAGCATTTTCTGTATGCCGAGGGGCCCGACGGCCGGCGGCTGGGTGAGGATGATGAGATAACGGCCGAGAGGAACATCATACGATACGTGACGGAGAGAGCCGCTGAGGAGAACTCTCACTGACTGACCGATGAGTGGGTGTGATGGGTGTGGGTGGTGCGAAGACTTGTTGGATTGTTGATTGCACTCCTCCGTAGTCCGTTGCATCCATGCATTGCATGTGTAACCACCGTCTCGTACATATGTGCGTATTGAACGTACACATTCATTACACATGTACACATGTACACGTAGGCCAGCTAGCACAGCACGCAGCCGCCACTCGTTTCACATCGTCATCAGTTAGATAAAACACGCTCATCCACTCCACGCAGCCATTCCGTCCGTCCATGTCCATTCATCCATCCACACGCGTCTACCACATGTACATAACATACACGTACGTATACATACATACATACGAGTGCATTGCAACACAGCTGCAGACAGATAGACAGTCGGAAACCCACAATCAGATCCCACCCAACAGGCATTGCATTCACCCATGTGCTTGTTTGTTTGTTTGTTTGTTGTCCCTATTAGGACACACCAAATCAAGGATAAACGAATTCGTACACGTACGTACAGACGTCGTTTGCCGAAAAAATCGACCAGCACACAACAGCATCCGAGCCAAGAGAGAATCAAGGAAGTAGCGACCCGGTAGGTAGTGAAACACAACACGACACGTGCGAGCCGCCATTCATCCCATTGATTCATCGCATTGCAATGCATGTGCATGGATGCACATTTGCTACGATCATCGCTCATCGCTCTCGCTCGCTGGCGCGCCCGGCCGGCAAAAAGTTTGCCTGTCCGTCTATCTGTCTGTCTCTGCGCGCTTGCTCGGTGGGCGGTCGGTTTGTACCTCTCTCCCCTCTGCCTCTGCCTTGTCACAAAAAACCGTTCACTCATTCACTCATCCATTCCAAGAAATACAAAACGCCCGCCTGACCGACAGACACGCAGCACAGAGACGCACCGGTCGCATCGAGCATTGAGACAGTTTCGAGTGTGCATGCATTCAGCGAGTGAGCAGCGAGCAAAGGTCCCCTGTGCCTCTCAGTAGAGAGGATGCTCCACCCATCGGCAGGGGAGGTTCGCCAACCTCACTTTGCTTGTCCCGACACTCACTCATTGTCACGAAAAATGAGGCGGTGCACCGCCTACTAGGATAATTCACGCGACACGCATGACATGACATGACATGACATGACAACACCTACCTTGTTTGTGGCGAGTGAGTGCATGTGTATACGTTATGTGTACGTACGAATGTACGTACGCATTGTGTATGTGCATGTGTGAATATGTGTATGTGTGTATGTATAAGTACATGCAGCAGGATGGCCCCATCCACCGTACACGACACAACGACACAAAACACGCAACACGCAGCACGCGTTTTGTCTTACCCACACAAGACAGTTAGCAGTTAGTGGTTTGTCGGCTCACGCAGCAGTGAACCGCTGTACACTCACTCACTGACCCTACCTATACCGCTCGCACACATGCAAGCAAGTTGAAAGCCTTCAGCCTCTCCTCTTTCTCCCCAACACACACGTACATCAATCATCTTCATGTACCCCCATCCATACATCGATCCAAACATTTCAGATCGAATGGCAGGAGACCCCTCCCTCCCTCCCCCAGGCCACTCTGTACTGTACCTGTCTGACCCACGGACGGACGTACCCACCGCACAAGAAAACCCAATACATACACACACACAGAGACATAGACATAGAGACATCGAGGCATGGACGATAAAGGACAAATATCCCCGCCGGTCTCACCCGCCTGGGCCTAAGCTTGGATGCTCCCCCTGTCTGTGTCTCTCTGGGCGTTTCTCTCGTCTCTCTGCGTCTTGTCTACATACGTGCGATGACTATGTCTAGCACGTGGGTTTGGCGTGGCCACGGTTGCTCTCCATGGCGATGGCGAATATGTCGTTGGCCGAAGGGAACCGCTCCACAGAGATGAAGCTGCTTGAGGACACCGAGTGGGACAGCGAGAAGTGGCGTGTGGACGGGCTGCAGGGTGACATATCCATCATGTCCATGTCTGTGTCCAAGTCCATGTCGTCACTCCAGCTCGGGTCCTCCTCCTGCACCTCCATCGCCAGGTCAAAGTGACCAGACGCATGTCTGCACAAAAAGCAGGGAGAGAGTCTGGGTGCGTGTGTGTGGGGGGGCGGGGGGGAGGGGGATTACCTTTTGAGCGTCTTGAGCATGAGGCCCTCGTTGAGGTCGGCGGTCTGCTTGGCTATGCTCGCATGTTTGCGAATGGCGCGCTCGGTGCTGTCCTCAGCCTCATACTCACACACCTGACCACAGGCAGAAAGACAGACAGACAGACAGACAGACAGATGGACAGAAATGCCGTGTGCACCGTGCGCCGTCTGTTGCCTCCCTCCCTCCCCCCTCCCTCCCTCTCTGTGCGTACCTGCGTCAGATTCTCATCCTTCCACCGCACCCTGAGCCCCGGCAGCCGCGGCGCCTTCTTCTCACGCACCCCACGGTCCATCGTACCCTCATCCCCACCCTCACTGCCATCATGAGCCAGCTCGTCGGCCAGCTTCTGGCGGCTGGCCACCCCCGGCAGCGTCAGCAGCGGCATCGGCGGCACAGCAGCCGCATGGCTGAGCGGGGACACAGCCGTCGTGACGTCTCTGTCGACATCATGATGGTGGTCATGTAGCAAGGGGGAGAGGCAGAGGGGTGGGAGGGACGCCTTGGTCTGGATGGACAGGAATGTCAGGGAGGGGGAGGGAGGGGGGACGATGTATCCATTCGCGAAGCCCAGCGACGAGAAGGGCCGGCCAGTGGTGGTGGTGGCTGTGAGTGAGGCAGAGGGGTTGACGAAGCCGAGCTCTCCCCCCGCTAGATTGGCGTCGAAGTGCACTTGTGCTCCTTTGCGGCGCTTGAGGCCCTCGAATGTGGCGCGGCGGCCGAGGCGCGCAGGCAGCATGATGGTCTCAGAGTCTCAGCTTAGTCAACAACTACGGGACGCTGCTGGGGGCGGAGAGGATGTGGCAGCTGGCTTGCTGCAGATCCATTGAACTAACGTCGTCTTCTGCTCCTTGGATCCACAACGGTGCAAGATCTTCTGTCCCTTTTTCCGTCCCATAAGCTCGCAGGAACCGTTTGCGTTCAACGGCTGAAAGTCCAGGTGTTTGAAGGGACATGGGCAACACATCGTCCGCCCCAGGGGACGAGGCCGCTGGTTTGGCTCACCAGATGTGTGGGTGCCAGCGGGGGGACGAACCCGAACTGAGTCAAGCGCTGCTGAGTGGGAGTGCTTGGAGGGTGACGAGGGTACTCACGAACGCACCCCAGCTCGTGGTAGGCAATGCCGTCATTTCTGCACGTTTGCACTGTTTGTGAGGGTCGGCTTGTGTGCGGGGCTCGTTGTGTGCAGGAGTCTCCCCTATTATTTGAGGGCAACGCCAAGCTGCTCGCTGCCCTGGAGAAGGTGATGCAGCGCAAGGACATCTCGACCGTCAAGGCCCTTCTCGAGGCAGGTATCTCACCCAACGCCCCGCTCGCTCAGCCACCACCTCCAACTCGGAAACGGCCTCCGTCAAGCACCGGCCCTGTGGGGTCGTGCACGGGCGGGACAGAGGGCGATGAGGCCGGTGCTGCTGCGGTGGCTGACATGAGTGGGGAAGATGCGGGTGTGGGCCATGTGCCGATGTGGTTTCAGCACTCGTGTCGCGTGCCGCTGTGGAACATTTTCGTGCTCATGCTCGACCACGGGGCCGACCCAGGTAGATTGGGCCAGCATCCTCAATCTCACGCGAAAGGGTATATGCCCTTGGCCGTCTCGTTTGTGGATGCAGAATGTGGTCTGGTGGCGGCATGCCTTGAAGGCAGCGCCGATATGGTAAAGATGCTCTTGGTGAAAGGGGCGAACCCCGACAGAATCCGAGTGAGAGATGAGCTGTTACAACACGGCCCGCAGTGCAGGCACACAGGTACGTATCTGCGCGCTGTGCATTGATCAGGAGGGCAGGACCCCACTGTCAGCCGCGGTGGAGAGTGAGGTCGACCGTCATCGGAAGGTGGAACTGCTGTTGCAGCATGGGGCCGACCCCAACTCGCCCCTCCCTGACGAATCCTCCCCGCCCCTCCTGATGAAGTCACCATGAAACGGGACATCAAATCGGTACGTCAGACAGACAGGAAGGGGAATGGTCAACGAATGATAGGTGTGTCTGTCATTTGTTCGTTGTCAGCTGGGTATGTTGCTGGATGCGGGTGCTGATCCTAACGTGTCGATGGCTGAGGAGGGTTTGCCGACTCCGCTGTTCTACAGTGTGTACTGGGGCAATGTGGATGCGGTGGAGATGCTCTGCAGATATGACGTGGACCTGGCCATGCGCAAGTACACTGATGAGGATGTGTTCGAGGTCGCCAGGAACATCCTCGACTTCTCAAAGGTGAGCCGCCCTGTCTCTCTCCGTCTGTACGTGGCCGACTGGCTGTGTGGGTCGTGTGGGGTGGTGGTTGCTTTGTTGCAGGTGCCCAAGCCGAAGCACATTGCCCGGCTGCTCCTCCCAAACACCCCCACAGAGACGTGTGCAAAGATACTCGACGTACTAGGTACGACGCCGAACACAGTAAAAGCCTCCTTTGTGTGTGGATTTTGCAATATCCGTGATGCTGCAGAGGAGTGTCGGTCGCGACAGCAGCAGCGGCAACAGCAGGAAGCCCGTCTAGACGCGCCATCCACCACGTCAGGATCAGCATCAGGGTCAAGCTGCTCGGCTGTCTTCGAGAGCCCCTGCCGCGAGAGAGACAGCATCTCATCCATCGTGGCTCCGCCCCCCCACATAGTGGTCAACCGTGTCTCTGTGGGGGTCATGCCGCCCGACCCGCTGGATGAGAATGATCCACTGCGCACACAGCAGGATGGGCACGATGGGGGCGAGGGTGATGATGAGAGTGGAGAGGTTGATGACCGTGCGATGAGGGATCCCGAGCTGAGGCGGCAGACTATTTCTATCGACAGGCAGCTGCAGGGGCAGGGCAGCAAGGACAGTGCCCTCTGGTACAGCTATGGCGAATGAGTGGCTGGATGGCTATGGGTGCGGTCAAAGGTTCTTCTGCCCCTGGGTGCATGGTGTGCGCTTGCATCTTTCTTCACGTGTGTGGTTTGCGTGGTGTTTTGTCTTCTTCATTTGTTAGCCAACCAACATACATACGACGGTCTCATTTGTTCATGTCTGTACTCACAGACCCCCACGCAACATGTATGTCATGTCTGTGTGTGTGTGTGTCACTCGTCACCGGACTTGACCCCACCCATCCCCTCTTCATTCATTCATTCGCTGCAATAGCAACATACATACGTGCGCACGTCACGTACTGACTCAATTCGAAGCATCCACCGATGGCTCGAGAGAAGATAAGAACCCACCCAGCTGCCCCTTAGAACTGCGTACCGTCCGTCTTTCCCTTCGCCTCTCCCTCCCTCTATTGTACATACTCATCATCAACCACTGGCCGGCCAGCGATGCCCAGTTTCGGTGCCGTCGCTGGCTGGTCAGCTACACTAGCTAGGTAGCTAGCTTGTCATCCTTCACATCACACTATGGCACATGGCTGGCTGCCCGCGATAAGCAGCCTTCTTCCCGTCAAGGCATAAGTCAGGCAGTCAGTCAGTCAATATGTATGGAAGATCAGAGAGCGACTCCACTCCAATTGCACTGCACTCACAAAAAGAGCAAAATTGCGTGACCAGCCTATCCACCCCCGGAGTCACTGAGCAATGGTTGTGTTGATCTGTGCCAGCAGAGCCGCCGCCTCGGTGATGAGAGCCGACGGGGACTCCCCCTCCCCTCCCTCCCCGCCCTCACCACCCTCATTGGACTGACGCACCAGCGACCGCAGGTCGTGCCGTGCTCGAGCCAAGTTCCTCATTGCCAGGTAGCTCCTGCCTCGGTGGAACAAGGCCTTCGGGTGTCTTGGCTTGAGCGAGAGGGCCAGGTGTGACGCCCTGAGGGCCTCGCTCGTCCGGCCGAGCTTCAGGTAGCAGGCCGCCATGTTGGAGAGGAGCTTGGCTCTCTGCTCGGCTGGTGTTGTTGACGAGGGTGAGTAGAGGAGGTCCAGCAGAGAGAGGGCCTCGGTGTAGCAGGCGAGAGCGAGCCGCTGCTGGTTCTGCTGGAAGTGCACATTGCCCTCCTGCTTGATCTCGTCCACCAGGCTCGCCAGCAGCTGCCGCCCAGACGGCACCACGTCGCGGAGCAGGTGCTTCAGGGTGTCGATCTTGTGGACCAGCTGGTTGGTCGACGAGGCGTGTGGGAAGGCCGCCCCGTCTTCATAGCGATCAATGCAGTGGTTGGCCCCCCCCTCTGCGCCATACACCGGCAGTGGGGCCACATGCGCCACCCCACCCCTCGGCCGCCTCGGCAGCAAAGCCCTGAGCTCGATGCCCTCCCTCGCCAGCCGCTGGCGCAGCACGTTGGTGGCCACCTTCCTCCATGCGCAGCTGCAGAGGCGCATCGTCCGAACCGACGACGAGCCCATGTAGTCCATCACCTTCAGGACCACCTCGATGGGCACCCGGTCGCAGGAAAGCCGAATGTCCCGCATATGGTGGTCGGCGTCGTAGGGGCTCACATGCTGCTGCTGCTGGTGGTGGTGGTGGTCGGAGACAGACGCTGGCGAGCAGAGGGAGGGCCCCCAGACGGAAATGGCGCGGTCGCCGATGCCGATTGACGCTGGGGTGAGGTCGTCCCCTCCCCCACATGTGGAGGGGAGGGCAGGCAGACCCGTCCGACAGGGGGGCGGCGGGGCGCTCAGCGCGCGATGGAAGTGGTGATGATGGTGGCCGGGGGTGGTGGTTGTCGATGATTCGTCGTCGTCTCCGTAGCTGTTACTGTCGTCTTGCTGCTCCTGCTGCCGTCGTCGGCGGCTGCGGGGGGTGGGCTCATTGCTGGATGAGCCGCCGAGGCCGAGGACCGCATGGATGACGCGGTCAAGGCGACACGCCTGCCGCTCGATGCGCTGACGCTGATGACATCACACACACACATCCAAAGGAGTGTTCCTTCCTCGGCGAGTCTTTCGCTGCCGCATTGCATTCCGCTGACCCACCTGCATGACGAGGTACTTGGTCAAATCTCCAAAACCGGTAGCCCACACGGACCGCCCAATCTGCTTGTACCCAATGCGGAGATCGCCCGATGACCCCCCACCGCCAGACGCCGACCGATGATGAGTGGACTTCATCTCGACAGTGAAGACGCACGGCACACAGACAGACGTGGGCGTCACCAGGCCCAGCTGATGACAGAGGGAGCCCTGGTCCTGGGCGACCAGTGTGCGGTGGCTGCCGCCGCATGCCGACTTCTGCAGCTGCCGCAGGGTGTGGATGTCCTGCCGCCCGATGACGAGGACGGGCAAGTCCTGGTACATCAAGCGGACGTAGTCGGCCCTGTTGTCGAGCTGCAGGGCGGCGAGCTCTCTCTGACAGCTCCTGGGGAGGTACTTGCACTTGAGCCGCTCCCTCCCACACGCCGCCAGGCCGCGAAGGAGGTCTGTGCAGGGCTGCTGCACCTCGACGTCGTCTCGCTTGCTGCTGAAGAGGACGACCACCACCATCTCGCTGCTCCGGCAATAGCTGGGGCTGCGGAGGTTTACCTTACGGTCATCGACACACACCAGCACACGGTCCGGAAAGCGCACAGCCTCCCCAAGAGGCTGGGCCACAGCAGCAAGTGCCATGGGATCCTGCCTTTCGTCCCCTTCGGCTTTGCTGGTCAGCTCACCCGTACAGCGCTTTTGACAGTGACGTTTGCCGGCAGCCTCTCGTGGTAGAAGGGGAAGAGTTCCTTCCCTCTTGGCTTTGGAAGGAGCGGTTTCACGGAATCTCCCGGCGAGCTTGCCTCCGAAGTGATAAGCATGCGATACGTTCATTCGTTCGTTAACGGACACCGAGGTCCCGGCCCCTGCAAATGCTGTGTCCATGAAAGCGTTTGTCATACGTGAATTGAGAGATGACGGCCACCGTGCGAGCGTTGGGTGTTGTGACAGCCTTCATGGCGGGTGTGCTCGTGTCCCTCCAGCTCTCGACGAGTAGCAGGATCAGCAAGGTGGTCGGCAGCCCCGTGTATGTGTCAACAAGCAGGTCAAGAAGGAAGAAGTCACAAAGCACACAGGCATTCATCTCGCCAGCCAACATAGAATTGATGACCCCTGTGTGTGTGAATGAATGTGCATCGCATCGCATCCACCGTGCAGCTATACTTTCTCCTTGCTGATACTGGGTGGGATGGCGGTCTCGCAGGTAGGTGTGTATGCCCATGCAGCACACACACACACACACACATCTACATGGTATGCCGTGTGTGCACTGCAGAGGAGTCCATGGCACCTGGCCAGCGTCCGCCCAGCCTACCTGATCGGCGGCTTCCTTGTGTCCCTGTCATTCCTGTCAATACCTGCCGCGCCGCACCTCGGTGAGTGCCGCGCACATGCGATGGATGGATGGATGGAGGTTCTTTGTCTGTGCGTGCAGGTGTGGAGCTGGTGATGATTGTGATGACGGCAGGCGAGATGCTTGGCGCGCTCGTCATCGACCGCGTGGCGCTGGGCATCACGTCACTGGGTACTGTCATGGCGGCAGTGATCGCCTCCGTCGGGGCGTCTGTGTCGTTCGAGGTCTCTGTGGACGAAGACATTCTTGTGGTGGCTGCATACGTTGCACTCATGTTCGGTACGTACGCCACACACACATCTGAGAACGTGCAAAGAGTTCGTTTGGTCTGTGTGTGGTCCGTGCAATGCAATGCATGGTTCACTCGTCGTTCGTTCAGGTGTGGGCACTTTGTTCCCTCTATTGAGTTTCCTCAACACCGAGCTGTCCAGGCAAACCCACAGCGGCGTCAAGGTGCGTCAGACACAGACAGACACGCAACGGAGGAATCGTTCAACATCGATGCACGAGTGTGTGTGTCCCTCTGCGAGCGCAGGCGGCCTTTTTGTCCTCTTGTGTGACAACGATTACGATGTTCGGTCTGTCCACATTTGTGTGGCTGGCCTTCCACCAGCACTTCACGCCGCGGCTCAATCAGTGGTGGCTGTGGCTCATTGACGGCGGATGCTGCGCATTCTACGTCTTCACCATCACTTTAGTGCCCAAAAGGATCGGCTTCGCGCCGTGCTTCATTCTGATCGTCCTTGGGTGAGCAGCAGAAGGCGATAGCAATAGCGCACACAACACAATAGATATATATATATGGGCCATGCATCAACGCAACGCCTCCTTGTTGTCTGCAGGAAAATGGTTGGTGGTCTAATCTGCGACACTTACGGCATCCTCGTGAAGCCGCAGGCCATCACTCCCAGGCGCATCTTGGGTGTCATCCTGGTCACGGCCGGTGCCTGCATCTACAAGCTCGAGTGGTCCCACCTCAACCTGGTCGACCCACTGGGCCTCCTGTCCACCCCCCCACCAGCCCGCCAGCCACGCATCAATGACGGCGACACTGACGACGGCAGCGGCAGTCCGACAGCCGAGTGTGCTAGCGAAGGGTCCGCCAAGCGGGGCCTGGCTGACCGCTCCGACGCCAACACGACCCATGGCGGCATGACGGATGATTCGCCGCTGTCGAGCTCTAGTTGCATGCGGCTCAACGGGGAGGGCATGCACATTATCGAGAACGACAGTGGGCCGAGGGCTGCAGATGAAGATGCCACGACAGATGGGGGGGCGAGGAGGCCGCCGTCATCATCATCGTCAGCAGGAATAGTGTCGATGGTCATGATGTGGGGAAGGAGTCGAAGGACAAACAAAATGGCTGCTGCAAGCGGCGAATCAGATGTGGGCCAGGCCAGCCAGCACACCAACGTGTTGGCGAAGGAGATCCCACCCAGCTACCCGCACCCACACATCAAGCTTCTGAGGTCGCAGCATGGAGAGGGGGCCGAGACCCAGCAGCTGCTGGCCGCGCCGACTTGCCTCTCTCCGATGGTCCACAGGACTCGTAGGAACCGAGGGCAGCACTCCCCCTATTCCCACTCGCCAGCCTCTTCCCTCTCGCCATCCCCCCGGTCGGGGCGCAAGGCGCTCAGTGACGGAGGCTCCTCTCCCTTCCACTCGCCCGACTCACCGATGTCTCTTCTCGACGAGTCAACCGATGGCTGGCAGCCTCAAGACAGCGACAGCGACGCCAAGGCGGCAAGCGGCAAGCCATTTTCGCGCCTGCTGCTGCTGCCCCCAAAGGATAGAGAGAGGGAAGGTATGTTGGAGCAGGGGCGGAAGGGGACTGGGAAAGGCTCGCCATTGTGGCGTTCGCCGCCCTTGCGTGTGCTGGTGGATGTGGGCGATCGGGGGGACGCGAGCGAATGATGGCAATGCATGTGCATCGAAAGGTCGACATGCTGTGTGTGTCGTTTATCTGGTTTGACGTGTGGATGTTGGTGTAGCTGGTGTTCTTGCCTGCTCGTATCTGTCAGTCGTCACGCGTCTGACCATTGTGATATGTAGAGAGCTTGAGATGCGTCTTGGGGGGTGGGTGTCTACGGTAGCCATGCAGTGCAGGCAGCATATGCATGCGCTTCTCAGAGTGTCTCGGACTTTCTCGGGATCAGTAGTTGCGATCAAGTCTCTTGCTTACACAGAAACTCTCCGCTGGCGTTGACTCAATCAAATCATTCTTGTGGGAGGAATTCCCTCAGAGTGATCCTCAGCTCCTTCGGAGCCTCCTCGAGAGGAGTCCGCCCATCCTAACCGAAAAACAACACACACAGGGGACCAGCTACACACACACCAGCCACCACCTTCTCATGCCATGCCGTCCTCACGCACTTTGTTTTTCCAAGTGAGTAGCTCTGGTTTGCGCTTGCAGATGAGGATGCAGATGGACGTGTACTGACCATTCTGAACACAGGTGCCGTACCAAGGCACACAGTCATTTACGTGGCCTGTCCCCGTGGTGCTCGTGCATACCACGGCCATGTGCAGTGCATTCTCGCCAGTTGACTTTTCCTCAAACTGATCAGCGATAAAGAGAAGAGAGCAGGGATGCAGGCAGACGCATGTGAGTGTGGTGGTGTTTCTCTTTTCCTCTTCCTTTGTCTGTGTTTACCTACCGTGAGGTCAGCTCCCTCGTCGATGAGCATCTGTGCGATGGCCTCGTGACCCGCAGCACACGCCTTCATCAGAGCACTCGCCTACATTACATACATGCCCACACACACATCGGCGCGTGTGTGGATGCACTCACTCAATCATCTGTGTACGGAGCGGGTCGTATATAGAGCTGGAATGCCTACCCCATATTTGTCTCGTGCATTGATGGGCGCCTTGGCATTCAGGAGGGCCCGCACAACCTGCACTTTGCCTTCGCACACACACACACACACACACGCGCACAAGGAGTGTACAAGGAGTGTCCACTTAGCTGCAGGTGGGCCCAATGACTGACCTTTGCCAGCCGCCGAGTGCAGCGCTGTGGCATTCGAAGACGTTCGCGCATCGATCTGCAGCAACCACACACATGGATAGAGATGGATGACACACAAAGAACACACTCCAGCGCCCTGGTTGCGTCACCTTTGCGCCGTGCTTGATGAGCAGGTCTACAGTGCTGGAATGGCCAGCCGACGACGCCAAATGAAGACTCGTCCATCCCTGCATTCCAGGGCAGCCACAAACACCATCACACCTTCATCTGCCCACTCACTTACGCAGTCGTCCGTTTGGTTGATATTCGCCCCTTTGTCGAGCAAGAACTGAACCTGCACCAGCCACCAAACAAGCCGACCTTTGTCAGCCAGCCCCGTGCGTGTGTCTTCAAAGTGATGCTCCTCGACTGACCACAGCATCCCGCCCACCCCCGCTGCCCCTGAGAGGCAGTAAGCCATGCAGGCGGCACAAGCACACGGCATCCAGTCACAACCAGACAAATGCTCTGCAGGTGTGTACCTACCAGTGTAGTGCTGTTCTGTCGTCTGAGTCCTTCTTGTTGAGCAGCGAGGGGTCTTCACCGTAAAGCTCTGACCACACAAAGGGCCAGACAGAGATGCGCATCAAGCACCCTGCCCTCGTGTGAAGGCGACACTTACTCTCTATGCGGTCAACGCTGCCGTCTTGCTGCGGCAGTCGAATACACACAGACACACACACAACAGAGAGAGAGATCAGCGCAGTGATCTCGCTCCAAATCCACTCGTCGCTGCTGTCCTGTGTCGTTTGGTGCCTACCGCAGCGTCCACAAATGTCTGTACAGGGTCCTTCGCAGCACCAGGCCTCTGCTCCATCGGAACACCTCCCAAAACAGACCGAAAATCGGCAGGTTTCGCAGTGAAATGGCTGCCAATGCCCTGCAAGCCTCACTCAGGCAACAGCGTCGGAAACTGGGCTTGCTGATGGATTCGATCCAATCCACTAAGCTCGCAGAGGAAGAGGAGAGAAAAAGGGGAGCGGACGATGACACGAAGACCTCTTGAGATGTGCTGATGAAGATCCTCAGCTCAAAAACATGATTGCTCGGCGCTGCTTTCGCGCCAAGCGGCAGCTGCTTTCACAGCATCCCCTCGTCTGTGTGCCGCCATCGTGGTTGCGCGGCTTCGCCAGCGAAGCATCGGGGTCGCCTTTGCTTGGGCAGCGCGCATGGGTGCACCCTACTGCAGTGCTGATAGGGCGGGTCAAGCTGGGAGATGAGGTGTCCGTCTGGCCGATGGTGACCATACGAGGAGGTAAACAGCCAGACATACCCACAATGAGAGGCAGCATGGCATGCACACGTGAATGATTCATTTTGTGTTGTCTTTCTAATTCGTTTGTGTGGTCCATCAGACGTCAACACGATAGAGGTCGGAGCTCGAAGCAACGTGCAAGGTGAGTACATCCGTATCATTGAGAAATCGAAAAGAGGCTCATTCGTCGCGGCGCTGTGCCCTTTGTTTGTGTGTGGTCAGATGGCGCGGTTATCCATGCGACCGGCTGTTACTCACATGCGCCCCCTGGTGGCTATCCAACCAAGGTCGCAATGGCAACCAAAGCACACAGACATGGATATGATGCAAATATCATCCTGAGCTCTCTGTGTGTGTGATCAGGTGGGCGAGGATGTGACGATAGGTGAGCCGACGGGATGACAAGGACAGGGGGGATACGATTGCGCCTGTGTTCAGGTCACAAGGCGTTGCTGCACGGCTGCACCATCAGTGACCGTGTGCTCATCGGCATGGGGGCCATCATCATGGACGGTAAAGGGGCGGGCGACAGAAAGACACACTCACATGCCATTTCCGTGCATCCCATCCATCTGCCCATCTGTGTGCAGGGGTGTCGATTGAGCCTGACGTCATTGTGGTGGGCCCCACGAAGTTGCAAGAATGTCGAGTAATTGATTTTCGGTTTCTGTGTTCGCCCTGTAGGCTGCTGGTTCCCTGGTGCCGCCAGGCAAGGTGCTAACAAGCGGACTGTGGAAGGGGAACCCCGCACGCTTCGCCAGAGAGCTCACAGGGGAAGAGCTGCAGTTCCTACCGTAGGCAGCAGACACGACAGAGAACCAAATGCGGCTACTGCTTCAGCTGATATCCTGGACCTGTGTGTGTTTGGTGTGTACAGGCAGAGTGCGAAGAACTACATGGAGCTGAAGGACCGCTACCTGAGGGGAGACTTCCAGTGACGCTCAGACAGACAGAGATAGTCAGTCGGATGGATGGACGGCTGGACGGATTGGCAATGGGCCAGCCATGTGTAGACATTCTTACGTACGTGAGTGCCATCCGCCACAAAACCCAGATTTACATGAAAATTCTGCCACACACACAGGCGCCTCGTTCCGTCAGCAGCAGCGCAGTATAGGCGACGGCTGGTGCATCGTGTGTCGGATGGATGGGTGCATGCACAGGCCGTGACGTTGTGTATACTTGACGTGCTGACATTCTCCACCAATGAATGGGTGAAATCAGCGTGTTGCTGCTGGGTGTGCACATGGGGCGGCATGACGTTAGATAGGTGTGGGTGTAATATCACTACAGCTCAGCTGCCATGGGTAGGTAGTGTACATATTCACATTGAAAAACATCCACCGGTCCGCCAGTCAGTCAGTCAGTCAGCCCCACCCCACCCCTTCCTCACACACACACACACACGCACACACACGCAGAGAGAGAGAGAGAGAGAGAGGAGAGAAAGAGGGACGAAAAAGGGCCCATCCCCCCGTCTATCTGTCTGTCTGTGTGAGTCGTTTGGTGGGTGCCGCACACAACCCCCACCCCTCCACCCTTATTATCACTGTGTCCACCACCCCGCCCCCCTTATTATCACTGTGTCCACCGCCGCGCTACTCCATCCATCCCTCCTTGTCATATCACTGGCTGTGCTTGGCACACATCACACGCGAATGAATCGCTGACTGCACCCCTCCCCTCTCCTCTACCTCGTGGGCAGACCGTGACTCAGACAGACAGGCAGGAGCAAGGGGCGAAAAAGAGTACGTGTCTGTGTGCATAACAAATACATACAGACAGAGAGAGAAAGAGAGACCAGCCAGCGAGATGCACGCACATGACGTGACGAAAAAGACCACCGAACACACACACACACGTCACACACACGTCATGGCAGGCAGAGTCCGCCCGTCCCGTCCCCCCTCGCCGGCCGTGTGTGTCACGTGCGTGTCGTAGAAGAAGACAAATACCACACAACCACACACATAGAAAGGGAGAGAGAAAGAGAGAAAGAGAAAGGAGGAAAAAGAGCCCACCCACCCGTCTATCTGTCTGTGTGAGTCGTGTGGTGCGTGCCGCACACAACCCCCCCTCCCCACCCCTCCACCCTTATC